GATATTAAAGAAGCCATACCGGAGTACTGCCATTGTAGTCACGTTGCTCACTCTGGCAGCGTAATGGCAGAAGTTTTTGAGAATGTTAAAACATTTCCACCATCGCCTTTTGTTGCTAAATTTTTCGCCGATGTTCTGACAATGTCCTGATGATGTACTCCCGTTCTTACCGATGTGATACTGTTGTGCTGAGCTAGTACCGATCCCCGAAAACGCCAAATTTGTGCTCCAGTATAGCTCCGGCGACCCAAATCGGCTAGGTGTGGCAGGCCCTTAAGTGATACACAACCACAACCATTGTGACAATCTCTTTCTATTTGCCTCCTATGACATGATAAGGCTTCCTGCAGAGGCAGATCCAGGATTCTGATTTTGTTTCGACTGGCTATGGACTGGCAAGGGACAAGGCATAGCTGTCTACCCCAGATGCATTCAATGAGTGAGATGTATATAACCCATGGTCCCGGGGACTGGCAGGCCCCAGTCAAGTCCAGGCGAAGTCTTGGTGAAGGGTGACCAGCTGAAAGTGATTGTAACCATTTTGCCCAGTATTTTGGAGCCCTCAAGTTTAATTTTTTTGGTAAATTGTTATAACAGAGAGATGTAGAAATAATGACAAAAGCGCAATGTCATAGCTGCGATGATAAATTCAAGGCAGTTCGCCATACGATTAAGTCAGAATGTTTTTCAAGTTGTTTTGAGGGAATATGTGTCAGATTGCTGTCAATGGCATTGCGTGAATGGGTGAGTTTTGGTGAAAAAGTGTGAATCTCATGCCAAATGTGTGAGAGTTAATGGCTATGGACTTGGGGCTTTTGTTGCAGAATTGATTATCGATGTGATGCAGGGTAAGGGGATATATACGAGTTATTTCTGTTTTATTAATTGCAGTCTTGTGGTTACTGCTCGGACCCGTGGTGAGTTACTTGGTGTATTGTATAATGACTAAAAATAAACAAATTTGATAATGGTGGGACAGGAAACTTGGTTACCCCAGGTGGGTAGGTCCTTAGTAGCCGCAAGGTGCCCAAGTTACCCATCCCAGCCCTATCAGACTCTATTCCAAAGTTATGAAGACGTGTATTATTGCTACCTGGTGTGTCAGCAACTCGTAAATATCGGAAAGTTACAAAAGCAGTGCAGTACATAACTGTGATTTGGCAGCGACTTTGAGACTTTGTTTTTGTTAAAACTTTAAAATGTGACTTCCACGTTATGTTCACTGCCCTTGTTCAAAACCTGAGTCTAGCCCTTTGCAGGAATCTTACTATGTCATTGGAGGAAACTAAAAATTGATTGGTTGCCACAATGGACGACAGTTTAATTACCAAAACTTGCCTTGAGCATTTCGATTCAATATATTTCTATATTTTACAAAGCACGGTCACAAGTAGGATGCCTTTATCTAGTTGCTGTTGACTCTCATTAAGTAGACTCAGCAATAGTTCCTGGAAATAATGTGTGATTAGATGCTTGTGTTGCATCATGGTTGAGCAGTTAATGAACACTGGCTATACATACCAGGTATCTACTTTAGAATTCATGATAACCAGAATTGTAGAAGAAGAAATACTGGAAAACATGATACGTGTGCTTGGTCCTCTATCATGGAGTCTCTCTGAACACAATGTGAGAATTAATGAAAAGATAGGGGAAGTGTTTCCTGCCAACCTTTATATTTCTATACAAAAAGTATATATATATCATTACCCACATCAGGTTCTCTTCTTTCTGTCATCTTTTCTTGAACAATATACTGTAAATCTTGAAATTAACGCGAGCATGAATTAAATGCGAAAAATGCTTTGTTCGCATTATCTAACATCGCATTTTTATCAACAATAAGACATTTTAGATAGCAGAAATACCAACTCAGACATACGCTGAAAACAAACAACTATGTATTCCACATCACTGTTTATTGAGCAGCACTTGTTACAAGTATATAAACAATGTCATTCAAACACTAATTACATCCTGTGGATTGTCACGGCTGGGGTAAAGACAAGAGTTCTCCCCACTAATGTCATCACTGATCACACCTGCAAGTCCAGACAGACGCCACCCACGCAACACGGTGTCTTTGTTCTTTGCGACTGCGTCAAAGGCTGACACGAACCTGCGCGCATGTATTGTTTTAGCGGAGGTACTCTACTCAGCACTAATAAACGGTGCTATTTGGTGTGTGATTGGATTAATGTAAGGTTGGATTAAAGTGAGGATTCTCCTGTGAACCTGACAGAGGACGTTTTCTTTAGGTATAAATCAACTGATGCTTGAGAGGAGGGGGGGCGCATCTTGGCTTGGACACTCGCCCCGTGCAGATGTGTCCTTCCAAGCTTGCTACCCACGCTCAACTATGAGAGACATCGCTCTGTCACTACCGAGGGAGCTCTTTGCCATCCTGGCGCCCTTGCTGGCTTTCAGGGTTGGGGACTACTCCCTCAGGACTTCCAACTCCTCCACCCTCTCCATCTCCTTTGACTAAGGTCAAAGGAAAAGGCCTCTGGTCAAAGCTCCGGCCAAGACCAAGCCTAAGGAGAAAACCACCCTGGCCCCTATCCCTGCTGCACCACTGCTCGGTACAGAAGGCCAGGCCGCCCACCAGAAGGCTCCACCAGTCGCCGCCATGGAGATCCGGGAGAGCCTCCAGCTTCCACCACCACACCAGCTCGCCAGCCGACGCCGTGCCTTCCCAAGCCTGACCCCCTCCCCCCCCCCCCCCCCCCCGCCCCCCCACCCAAGCCCAACTTTTTCTATATTATTATTATTCTATCACCCCCTCCCTCCCAGCCAAAACCCACCCCCCTAGATTATCATTTTAGGTTTCCCTTATTTACATTTTTTTGGGACGCACTTCTTTATTTATTCATTACGCTTTTTTCCCCAAATAGTATAAGTGCTTCCCCGTGTGCGAGATACGCTAAAGTGTAATTTATTACACGCGGAAAGCGCACGTTAAATCTCCAAATGAACCAACCAACCAAAAGAGGAGGGGGGTGTCGCATTCATATTGAGTCACATTTTTTGCTAGGCACCAGCAGTTGCATTCTTTTGGAGACACATTAATTTCACGATTTACAGTTCATGTCTATAGTCTGGTGTCACAAGTTATGGGAAGCAAAGAGATTCCAATCTGGCTAAACATAAGAAATGCCGACGCGTTAAGTGACTACCAAAGCTGAAATTGAAAAGGCTGAAAAAGCAGACCTCAATTATTTGACTTAGATGAATAAGTAAATGGAGAAAAGCACTCCCTTTCTACCCCCCTCTTTATCAAATTGAACATCTCCTAACATCAACACACAGTATCCTGTACTTATCTATTCCTGAATAAGTTGGTGGTTATGTTTTATACCATGTATGTTGATGAAGTATTTTGAACAGTTTCAAAAGGTTTGAAGTTTTTTATGAAAAACTTTGAAAGATAACTTCAAATCGTCCAGGATTCTTAAGTAATTACTGGCACTATTTCAACTGAATCAAGACGCAATTTGTCTCTATTTTTTTGCCATTTTTTCAAAATATTTTTATAATGCCTGAATGGAGGCAGATAGCTTTGAAGATGGGCCGGCAACACTTATGGGTCACCTGCCCAACTGTCTTGTTGGGTTTCGAAATTATCTCAAACACTGGTGTAATGAGAATCTTCAGTTTTTGCCATTTTTAAAGAACTTGATAACCAAAGCCTCCAATGGTGATTATGTCATATTTTCTTAGTGGAATCAAGTTATCATAAATATCTATTTCTATCTTAAATTCCTGAGATATTGCAAGATGTTTGGAGTAAAACTGTTTCTATTGAAAACAAGACCATGTGAATCAAGTTCCCTGCAATCGTTATGTCACACTGTCCTAGCTGTGTGGGTACATTGATTGGACACCAAGTATATATTATTCCATGTCAAGTACACTACATGTGTTCCTGAACAAATGCTATTTTCCCATACCATTAATCTCACAGATGCTATATCAGATCGTTTCCGTGACTTGGAATTCTTTGAGTGTTATGTATATATATTTTATTACAGGATTGAGAATTGATCTGAGAAAAATTCATGTACTGATTTTTGTGGTGTATTTGTAAGGATGATGTCATTGGGTTGTTAACTGGGTACAGGTATACATAGTAGACGAACTGTAGCCACGTAGTCAAACGGTTTCATTGCACATTACCGTATTCGATGTAATTAGCGACCACGGCGATATTTGCTAATATATTGGCAAGTGAACCATCCCAATTAGCACCCCTTTCGATTGATCAATGTACACAAGACTTATTTATTCATATAAAATACACACTCGTTTGTTATATGCTCCCTTAATTATGGGCAATTAAATCCTGGAAAAATATATCTGTCGTATGTAAACATTCCAGGAATTTACGATCTTTCAACTCTGTCTTTTTCACCCAAATAATATTCTAATAAGAGCCCCCTATTTCTAATTTTGAGAGTGCCCTGGGCGCTTATTATGTCGAATACGGTAAATGCAGGTTTGATTTTCAACATAGCCAGGTAGCTGAAGCATGTGTGGCTTGCTGCCGTCACTACAAGAATGGTGCAATACTCACTCACTTTGGTGTGTTAGAGGAATACAGTGATAGCATGTTCACATGTCTTATGTGAAGAAAATTATCATATTCTCTTGTAATTTTGTAATGAAAATTTGAAAGCAAAGCAAACATTTGGATTAAATGATAATTTCAGTATATGTTCGCAAGGACACATATCCCCATTCAAAAAAAACTAATTAATGTGGAACTGTTTTTTAAATTGAGGATTTATTTCATTATAGAAATTAAAACTCATGATTATTTTCGAAGACAGTTTAATTTGGCACAATGTGAAGTTTTGGCGTAACTGTCTAAAACTGAAACCTGAAGATATTAGCAAGTGAAAATGTTTATTTCATGCTGCTGTGTGTTATGACAGAGACTGTCTAGATCAACATTATGTTAGTTTCAGCGAGTGCAACATTTCTTTCCTTTGTTTTGACAGGAGGCTGCACGGAAAGATGATAAGAAAGGGAAATCTCCTACAGCGGTGAGTGATTTCCAATTGCCATTGATTGAGTCACGACATTGCCTTGTGATCATCATCAAGTGCTGTTAGGATATAGGATGTTATTATCCAGCGGTAGAAACTAACAGTTTTCGTCCACGAGTCCTTATGAGTTATAATGATAACATATATCAAAACCCTTACAAACAGCAAATTTTGGGTAGTCCTTATGATACCTTTACTATTGGGTAGTTTGTCAAGGGCTACATGACTGGTGACAATTTCTAACGCTGTTATCCTGGATATCTCAAAATCGTACTGATTGAAATACATTATACAAACAGTCCATGACCTATGTTACAAGGTTAGAATTAAACTCAAAAGCTTTACTAGCCAGGGTAAAGATAAAACGCCCTTGTAAAATTTGTACAAATTTTCAAATTTCTTCATTGTTTTATCTGCTGGACTTTTGCACTAACCCCGGGCTTATAAATGGGCTTGCTCTAACCCTGTAATATATTCTACCTTTGCACCAAGAATGCTTGATTCTGATTGTTCAAAATAAGATTAAATCAGGTATATTATTCCATTTGATACTTCAAAATTGACATGACTTTTTCAAACAAAACTCTTGCGTATGAAAACATTGATCCATTGCCAACACATTGCATAGGACAATGGCCATCGATAAACCAGTAGAATTGTATATGTTCCATATCATAACAACAGCTTATCAAACATGATGAAATCTATTTCAGAACACACACAATTAAGTAAAACACACACTCGTCACTTTGTCATGGTCACGCAATCATCAGACACAAAAATTAGCGGACTCTCTTGTGTCGAACAGTGTCAACTTGTCTTCAGCTAAATATGGTGGTATGATAAGGAACTACTTCAGTGGGGTTCTGTTTGCCATGAGGTTATGCCAGCAGGCTCGTTTCAACCAGTAAATCATTACCGGTGAAAATTGGTTACAGATTGGGGAAAATGAAAAAATGATAGCGAAAGAGAGGGGTTGGCAAAAATTTTCAGAACTATGATTTTGAGGTAAGGGGGTGGAGTAGGGGTGTGGGGATCAAGGAAAAATGACACAATTCTATTTTTTTTCAAATAAAAAAATTGAACATTAAGAAAAGAAAAAAGCAGTTAGCAATATTATGCATGATCTTTTTTTCTTTCATATTTATATATACATATTTATTTTGAAGTTTAAGCGATTTTCGATGATTTGATTGGTTTATTTGCTGATCACATGACCTGTTCATTTTTCAACAAACTTCAAAAAGTGACATTTTCAAAGTATAAATATCACCTTTTTACTGTTTACACGATTTTTGACCAGAACCGCCTTCCAATTGGAATGGTCTGTCGTCTTCATTTTCTCATACTCTTGTTGTTTATAGTTCTCTGTTACTCCTGTCATGCAAGCTCCTTTCTTTACAGTATGCCAGGCAAATACATAAAAAAAGAACTACTGTTTGTGTTTTTATTGAACATTTACTTGAAACTATTAAATTTTAATTAATTGCAGAAAAAGAGACACACAGTCTGTGACATGTATTTGATGTCCTGATTAGAGTGTCTTTCAACTGCTTGTCATTGTGTCGTGCATAGTGAAGTCTCGTTTATTTCATATCATCAATTTCATTTAGGCACAACATCTCTTTGATGACCCGGACGGTAAAATTGAAATGCCGCCATCGCTCAAAGTGGATCATTGGAAGCGACCACACGAGTTCATTGCCGATAAGGTATGTTTACATCGGAACTGTCTTTGGGGAATATTTAATGGTCTTAGTGATTTTGATTGCTGAAAATTATGGGGAAATTGTTGAGAACAGAGTTAATGAAGAAGAAAATTAATTGTTCTGTGTGCTTTATGATTTAATCAATAAATGAGATTTAGGATGAAGAATGAATCTTACGTCAAGACAGATGTGTAGGAAAATAATTGAAAAGAATTGAATATTGATTTTCTGTAACGTCAAGAATTATAGTAAAAATATGTATTGCCTAATTTTGGGTCTATTAGAATTGGCATGTAATGTAGTGTATTTTTTAATTAGTAATTAGTATTACTGTATTCGACATAATAAGCGCCAAGGGCGTTCTCAAAATTAGAAATAGGGGGCTCTTATTGGAGAATATTATTTTGGTGAAAAACAACAGAGTTGAAAGATCGTAAATTTTGTGGTTTATGCTGACAGCCTGAAATATTTATATACGACACATATATTTTTCCAGAATTTGATTTACCCATAATTAAGGATGCATATATCACTAATTGGGATTGTTCACTAGCCAATATATTAGCAAATATTGCTTATTAGAGCAGGGGACCGTCTCCGTGGTCTAGTGGTAGAGCGTCCGCCCGGAGAGCGGAAGGTTCGGAGTTCGATCCCCGGCCGCGTCATACCAAAGACGTTAAAAGATGGTACTCGTTGTTACCCTGTCTGGCGCTCGGCATTAAAGGGCTAAAACAAAGACTGGTCGGCTCGGAGTCAGTATACTGTGTCTGAGTGGAGTATCGATGTTAAACTGCGGCATGATATCTCAGTGTGCTAGCACTATAAATCGGCATCAGTCCGGACAAGTACAAGCAACCACACGTGCATGCGAGTCGCTATATAAGGGCAATAATCTTGGACGCGACGTTAAACCCAATTTCACCTCACCTATTAGAGCAGGGTGCTTATTATGTCGAATACGGTAGTATGTAATGACATGATGTAAAAATGGGAATGAAAAGGTTTTTTTTATTTACTTTGCTTGCCTGCATTATCAATTAAGACTTATTATCTTTACAAATATTTCAGATTTTAAACGTTGTTGACCAGGAACAAATTGTCAATGGCTTTGATCTCATCTCCCCTAATGAACATTTACATGAGAGTGAGGTAAGTCGAAATGTTGAAATTTTGTTGACAATGAGAAATGTCAGGAATAATGACGGTACTTTGGTGAAGATAAATGGAGGACATGCCTGATGTCTTGGAAAATAAATATGTTTGTCTCATTAAGTCAACGAAAAAGTGCAAAAGGGATTTTTGTAACTTTTCTCCTCAACTAGATGTGATAAACGTGACAAACATGGATGGTAATTATCATTATATAAGACATTATTGAGTCGATAATCTGTTTGTAATTATGATGTTGATAATGGTTGGTCATGCTGATTGATTTGTTACAGAAATATCTTTTTGATGTATTTGAATGTAACTGAAGAACTTTCACTGCAGTAGTCATGACCTACAGTTTTAATATTTTGAGTTTTTGTACACAGTACAAGGTAGTTTATAAATTATAGGAAAAAACCTTGAGTCCGAACATTTGTTTTTTCAATTGGTCTATCAGTGGTGGTCAGTCTGTTTAGTCATGGAAAATGAAAATAAAGTGTTTAAAATATCTTCAAAACATTTATCTGTGTAACATCGGTTTTTGTTTGGTGTTTAATAATATTCCAGCTATGTGCTGTTGTTCTATAAAAAATCACATGTGTACCAGACAATCGTGTGATTGACAGCAAGATCCATGGAATTGGGATACGATAACACATAACCTACCAAGCCAAAAAGTCTCACCACCCGATCTATTTGGTCGCCTCTTATAACCAGCAAATCCCCAATGGTTGCTGTGTGACGAGTGTCCATATTTCTTTTGTGGAGGGCTTCGTTTCCAGCTGGTTGTTGGGACTATACCGTACTTTACATCTGAAGCTCAACCAGTTATTTTGTTTTTTTTGTTCCATTTTGTATTTTGTCTGATTTGTCAAAAATAGATTTTATGGGCAAGTTTTATTATTTTATTGTTTGGTTGTGGCTTTTGGCAATGCCCCTCGCCTAAATAGGAATATTTTTTATTTTCTTCACATTATCCTCAGTAAACCTTTCACTACCAGTCAATCAAACCACATGATTGACCAAACCACCTTTTGTCCAAAAGGATCAAACCAGTGTGATTATGTGTATTATGGCAACCAAATGAATACTGCTCCAAAAATATATTGTGTTTGATTAATATTTGATGCCTCCGTGGTCCTAAAACCAATCCCAACCATCCCTCCTTCTTCCCTATAATGAACGACGAGCCCAACAATATTTGTTTCGAGTATTACGTAATTATGAGTATTTGATGGTTCGAAATGTTTAAATTTCAAATATAAAATTTCTGGGCACTTAATATTCTGTAATATCTTTTCATCAAATCAGTATTGCTGTGAATTCATGCTGAAAAAAGGAAATTTTCGCAAGCAACTATCCAACATACATGCTAATATCGCCACAGAAATATCATATTGCAACACCTTGAAAGTCAAAGCATTTGTGGAATTACCTGAAATCAAGATGTTTCTTCTGGGCTTAACAAGATGCAGTGGCATCTGGATGGTTCGAGAGATTACTTGGTAATGGCTTTATTATCATTCAACAGGACTTTAATAGAAAACCAGCGTTGTTCTTCACTGTCAAGGGATTACATGTAACCTTTGATGTAATTACTGGGTACATCCCCATGTCATGAAATAAGCCGGGAGCTGAATGTCATATCATCTCAGTGGTGGATGAGATGAACGAGTAACAGACATCTGGGCCAACTGTGAGGTCTGATTGACATTGGTATTGACTTGTCGACAAGATCATTATGAAAAATCCTTGTGTGCTTGCTTAATTGAATTTAAACGTAAGAAGATTAGCTTGATCATTTGTTTGGTATTGCTGGGATTTGGATTAATTTGGGTGATTATCTCTGGTCAGGGCCAGCTGAGCCTTGGTTAACCTTTTCCTCAAGAAGATCTTCATTGATTGTACTTTTAATTATTTGACTTTTCAATGGAGTGTTGATGAAGTTGGTTTGATCAAATTTAATTTACCGTTTTCAGATAGTAAAAAATATTGATCTGTTATTTAAACAATTTATCCTCTTCCTTTGTCTTCATGGGCAAATTATTATTTAGACAGTTTTTAAGGGATTATGAGTATAATTTCTTGAGTATTCCCAGGTGTTTAATCTAGATCCTGTGGTCTGTTGGTTAGTGTGTTTAATCTAGATCCTGTGGTCTGTTGGTTAGAGTGTTAAATCCAGATCCTGTGGTCTGTTGGTAATTCTGATCAAGAGAATTTTTTGTCGTGCTTGAGGTGAAAATATATACAGACTAGAAAATATATCCTGGCTAGATACTGTGTGAATTGAATCACAAATAATGAGGAACTATGAACAACAATTCTTCTAAAGTTCATGTAAACTCAGTTGTAAGAGATCTAAATGCTAGTCTCAGGTGACAGTTTCCAGGCTTATTGTTATAGCACATGTACAACAGCATGGTGCTTTGCTTATACTTGTCAATCAATTGTTTCTTTGGACCATACTCCTGTATTTTGAGGGGGGCATGATATTGCTGGAATATTGATGACTGCAGTGTAGAACTACGTAGTACTTTGATGAATTGGTATATATATATTCACTCACTATTGTAATAAGGAGTTAATATCCTAAAGGGGGGCACGGGTGGCCCAGTCGTCTAAGGCGCCGCGTTTCGCTGTGCAGAGTTGCGTCCCTTGGGCACACCAGAAACCTATGATTGTGGGTTTGAATCCCGGTTCGCCCAGATTATGTTTCTAGGTTTGTCAGCACCTTACCCGTGCTCGTGGGTTTCACTGAAGTGGTAAACGCCCGAGACATGCATCAGTTCGGGCTTTCCTCCCACATTAAGCTGACACGCCGTAATATAACTGGAATACTGTTATAAGCGCGGTAAACCCAACTCACTCACTAATATCCTATACTTTTTTCCAGTTAATGCGGTACATCATCAGTCAGATCTCGGCGCTATGGGAGATGAGCGCTGTGAAGGCGCCAGATCCGGGCAGCATGATGCCTGGAGAGGACGACACTCACACCTGGAAGCCATGGGAACACATCTATGCTCTGTGCAAGGCTGGGAAGGGTCCACACCTGCCGCTGTATAACTCTCACGGGAAATATGCTGTCAGATTGTACTGGATGGTAAGCATGGGGCTTCTTGCAGCCTTTGATATCCACACTAGATGGTTAGCTCAACCTGACTAAATAACTGACAGAAAGCAGGGCTCGATTTGAGAAAGTTGATTTTACATGCACCTGGTGCATGTTGATATGACAACCTAGTTGCACCAGACAAAAACCGGTTGCACCATGTGCCCATCAATGTATCAAAGTTGAAACACATGCACATGATGTTGAAGTATTCACATTTTGATGATATCAAGCCCCAAAAAGCAACATAAATTACACATTAAAAAAGGGATCATTGATTTGGTAAATACCTTAGAGGTCATTAAAGTGCTCAAGACTCATGTGTGGACAGGTAATAGCCAGGCACAAATTTGAAAGATTTTTCAATAATAGATTGCACTTATGCATGTCTTATATAGTTAAATCGAGCCTTGGAAAGCGTCAAACATAGCAAACATTTTTGTCTTGTTGAAGCAGGACAAGCTAGACTCTGACGACTAGTGAAATATGGTTTACCTTCATCCTCAAGATTAGCCTTTGAAAAAAACCCGATTTTAAGATGTGAAAGTTGATAAAACTCGATGTGTATTTCTGTGCAGACGAGTCACAGTGTCAGATAAAAGACATATTAACAGGAGTCATATATACGTCTACGTTTGTGTAAAATTATGCAGGAATAAAAATGCTAAGAACAGGAAGTGATAAGTACTTGGTTGATCGTTCATTTTAAGTTCAACCCTCGGGCACCTGTAAGGACTCTCCAAGTTTTCTTTACAGTTTACATTGTTAAATCGTTCACCATATGGATTTTATTAGCAGTTGATTACTAGAGAAAGGCACATCCGAGTCAAAGGGGCCATCTCAGTGGGTGACCTTTGTGAGGGTCGCTCTGGGGCGTATCCCTATCTTTTACAGGCCGTAGGAGTTGCCTTGGGATTTTTGCGCAGAGTTATAACTTTTTTAATTTCTAGGTTTGCCGAAGCAATTAGACAATTAGACACGCCATAGCCATGCTGTAGAGCGGTTACATGGCGACCATACATCTTGAATACGGTGGCCTTGCGACTGCCCTGTGTAGTGGTAGCGTCAGTCTGGCTGCATGCATGGTCCCCCTGCGACCACCTTGCGGCTACCTTGCATCTGCCTTGGTATTTGTCAAAAACCTACCGCCACCGCAGGGACGCCCTAAGGCGACTGTGGGTCATCACTTCAAAGTCTGTATGGCAGCTGCAGGTTTTCTGCTTCCACAAATTCAAAATACGCCGTCCAGCTACCCTTATATATGTGACTGCTATAGTATATGACTGTGGGAATGCTGCGGCAGCCCTATAATTGCTATTGGCCGTAGATATTTTAGACCCCATGGCCGAAAATGTGACTGAGGCATAATCCGGGAGCCTTTCAGACAAATCGCGATGTATGACATGTAGGCATAAAAAAACTTGCTTAAATGCAATCATAACTCTGATTGGATGGTATGATTTCTAGGCTTGGAGTCCTATCTGACTGTGTGTGTGTCTACCAATCAGTTCTGTTTTTATTGTACAGGGTTGCTGGAGGAAGATCTATGTGGATGACAGCCTTCCATTTGACAGTGAGGAACGTCTGTTGCTGCCGGCAACCACAATACAGGAGGAGCTCTGGCCTATGTTGCTAGCTAAAGCTTTGATCAAAGTTGCATCCCTTGAGTGAGTAGTTTTTCTTGTCAATCTCTTTCAAATCAGTTTTTTACCCTCTCCATCATGTTCTGACAAACCCTCTACAGAATGTGTGATGTTGCTCTGTCTATCAACCACTAGTTTTAGCCTGGACTCAGTTATTGCAGGTCGCTGAGATGTCTGAACTAGCTAAAAAAAGCTAAAAAAAATAATAGTCTTGGTTCTCAAACACTGCCCACATTATCATAAAGTTCATTGCACTTTTCGTTTTTGTTTCCATTTTCAATTTGTTTTGTGCATTGTGTTTAAGCATTTGGATTTTTATATTTTAAAACAAAATGGAAATAAGAACAAAACGTGCAGCAGCCTTTATGATGATGCGGGTGGTGCCTGAGAACCAAGACTACCGTATTCGACATAATAAGCGCCCAGGGCGCTCTCAAAATTAGAAATAGGGGGCTCTTATTAGAATATTAAAACAACAGTGTTGAAAGATCGTAAATTTCGTGTTTTTTGCTGACAGCCTGAAATGTTTATATACGACAGATATATTTTTCCAGAATTTAATTTCTATAATTAAGGATGCATATAGCACACGTATTTCGAACGAATAAATAAGTCTTGTGTACATTGAACAATCGGAAAGGGTGCAAATATTAGTATATATCGCCGTGGGCGCTTATTAGAGCGGGGCGCTTATTACGTCGAATACGGTATTATTTTTTTTAGCCCAATATCAATAGACCTTTCTCACAGACTGCTGACAGCTATGTATTGGAAATTAAAATTTAAAATATTTTCTCTTTGTCTTAGTTTGATTCTATTTTTCAGTTACACTGGTGGCAGCAACAGTTGTGAGTTTGGAGACTTCAGCGTCGTCCACTGTTTGAATGGTTGGCTTCCTGAGACCATCCCTCTACAGTAAGTAGCACCCTGCTAGTCCACCTGGACTCTCTACATCCGCACGTCTGGAGCATGTCTAGAGCACGTCTATCATAGGGCTTTATTCCGCATTTAGCACAGGGTCAGACACGACTATACATGAATACATGGTGTGATTAGACTGCTAGTTTGCTATAGTGGACTCTGTCTAAACAGGCATCATCAAGGACTGGCACAAAATGTTGCTTTAGACAGTCCTGGACTACTCAGAGTTTGTCAAAGGGGGAAAAAAGGGCAAAGACCAAAGACAAAAGCATGTGAATGTTATATTTGGTCAGAGTGTTACTGGGACTAGAAAAAATGCTGCTTAAGGCTTAATAAAATAAAAGAATTGGTTCTTAGGCAATGATTTTTTTAAATATATTGCATGCAGGTGGTGTAATTTTTTTGGGGGGGGTTGTTCAAACTTATAATGTAACCAAATGAAAAGTTGTGTACAATCAACCTAGGAAAGGGCCTCCCTACATATATATATATGTATTCCTTGATGAGTCTAATAATGGACTACAGTATTTGCCTACTGTTGGACTTGGAATATTTAAGGCCTTTATTGTTTTTCTGAAAATGGAAATAAAAACGAAACGTGAGGTGAACTTTGTGAAGATGGGGGCGGTGCCTGAGAACAAAGACTATTATTTCTTTTTGCCTAATGAAAAGTGATGGAGAACTCAGATGCAGGTTTAGACACAGTTAGGGCTAGCTGTCGATATAGATAATAGAGATCAATAATCGCTAACTAAATATCGATCAATTATCGATAAATATCGGTGAAGTAACTTTAAGCAAATATACAAGAAAGTCCCGAAAGAAGTCAACATACCACGGGTGAGCAGTGGAAAATTTATACATGGATTACTTTGTGGACATTTGAGATATAACAAAAACTGTTGCTTTCCGTCTTCAACAATTGACATGATTGACAATAACAAGACTGTTTCGGTAATTCTAATTTCATCATAATTCTGATTATCAATCTTTTTAACCAGCCCTAGACAGAGTCCACTCTATAATGTAGAAGAACTTCTCACAAAGCATTCATAAGCAACATTTCACTTCCAAGTGAGAACAAATGAAAAACTATCTATGTCCCCCAAAAATGTGTATCCAAATTTGCTACGCTAGTAAATGATGGCATTGAAAAGTAAATATGCTCCAAAAGCCGTAAACTTAGTCTTTGCCCCAAACTTAAAATGAAACTGATTGTATTTGTTTTAATTATTGTGTCTAACCCTGAATTATTTTGTATGGGCACTGTGCACTTTGCTTTTTATATATATTCCATATTCCGATAAATTATTTTCTCATAAGACTGCTGGATGATAGTTCAGCCTTCGAAATTCATGCTTGTCCACAAACCTGAGACTACTAAATTAGGCTGAGGACAAGTTAAAATACAATGATGGTAGTCCTCATTGACTAGTAGCATTTGAGGTCTATAATTCTTAACTATTTCTCATTACTTCAAGTTTGCTGCAAATTGAAACTAAATCAAACTGAAAATGGAAACAGAATATGTAAACATGGTAAACGCTTTGTCTTGTTCATGCAGGACTAGCTATGAACTCTGAGAACCATTGAAATAAGGTTTACAAAAAAATAACAAATTTCACAGGCTGTAATTGATGTCATCCGTTAGCCATGTCTCCATACCCAGTAAGTACTTACACTATGTCCAGCAGTCTGTGGTATAAGGTGGTGGCTTAAGCATAAACATTGGTTCTGGATATCTACTATTGCTGTTTGTGTATGTTCATTATCATACAAGGAAATGTAATTCTATGGGAAAGGTATAATATTATTGGGCTTGAAATTAAATTTATATCAATGTTTGAAGGACAAATGTTGTTCGTTTATGTAATTTTTAGTATTCTCTAAAACCTGAGTAAATTGTAAAAAGTTACCTGTTCATTTAATTTTTGACAATTCCATGACTTTATTTTATATAATCATAAGTTACAACATATTTTATCTCGTTCCAATAATTCATTTTCTATGTATTTGCAGGCCAAACATTAATTAATTGTAGTATGTCTATTTTATTTGTTAAAATATTTTCTCAGGTTTTATTGAATGTTTACCATAACTATTCACGTCTTATAAAATGTCAGGTGTTAAAAAATACTGAATTCTAGAAGTTTGTATGAGTAAAGTATAAGAATAATATTTTAATGATATAAGATTTAACCTATTGTTTTCTGATTAAATAAATTTAGAAAATGCTGTAATTATGAAATACACAATTTGAAATATATTTTTCTTCTTTTAAAAGGGCTATAAATTTTTCTCAAAATGATTCATTTGAAACCTGACATTTTGAAAGACTCTGCTGTTACACTCTCACTAACAAATATACCAGTCTGTCACCATGCACTATCCCTCTGTTCACCACCTCTCATCATCACAGAAGCTTTATGCACCCCAAGTCTCTCAGCATCTCGAACTGTGACCCGTGTCTGCAGCCTGATCGTCCCTCTGCGGCTGTTAGAGCCTCGCCTGTAGTCACTGCTAGTCAAGTGCTAGAAAAGTATTTTGAGCTTAGCATGCATCCAAGCAAGTCTGCAGCAGATGCTCAAACTCGCCCCGGCAGTAAGAAACGGGATGTCAGGCAAGGCTGTTGTCTCTGTCCTATCTCTTTTATAGTTACAAGCTTAAAATTTTAGCAAATTCACATTTTGCATCTAAAATATATAAATTTGTGAAACTTAATATTTAAATGTTATATTAAACTATAAAATCATTATAAAAGTTTAAGTGACTGATGTTTATAAGTGTTTGACATGTCTATGTATATTTTTTTCAAGGTTACCATTTAATATTAGGATATATGGTTTTCATTGTTCGTAAATGTACCCTATGTAAAGTAATTTGTATGTATTTCCCACATTCTCATTATTTAATTACATTGCATATCCCTCTTAAGGTAAAATTAATTCAGTTTGTGTAAGCATTGCCATTGTGATTATCATTGATGTGTAATGTTGTATGTGCATTGTACTAGTATATATAAGAAGCCATGTTCATGTGCCTGTCTCTCCCAGATATGGTCATATGAGTGAGGTGTGGGATCTGCTCCGTGTTGCACTGCCAGAGTGGAAACTGCCGGAACAGGACTGGGAAAAAGAAGCCACACAAGAAACCATCAAGAAAGACCCAACTACACCGGTAGTAAGTTCATTGGAATTCCCTTACTATTTGCTTTACCCTGTGTGGGACCACATTGAAAAAATTCCTTTATCCTTGAAATTATGTAACAACCCCAAAACAGTTCTTCTAATATCCAACAAATATCTATGATTAGCTTTGATAACCATGAATACAAGACAGCTGTAGGACAATATGCATTAATAACCTCAACGAGTATGTGACATACATTTAATCTCATTAAAATCCGATCTAAGATGTCACTACTGCAAAACAAAGATCTGAGGGCATCCCATTAGGGGTCACGTCAGAATTACCTTTCATCCAACCAATCAGAGTGTCGCTTACCAGATCAGGAAAGTGACAGTCGGAATGTGTTTTCTAATCATGCAACCTTGAAAAATTTTAATTGGGGTATTCCGAATGATAGTTATGGGCTCAATGGCTGAATCCATACAATCTAGGCCATCTTTATTGCCCATTCCAGAATGCTCTTTTGATCAGTTTTCAAATATTTAATCGAGAATTTGACAAACACGTTTCGAAAGCGTAGTCGCCAATTTGAAACTAGTGCCGTAAAGCATGAGAAAGCTGCCTTCTGATTGGCTAATGTCAACTTCTTGTCAGTCATTCCATTGTTCGGTCAAAGGTCGGTCTGACGTGACCCGTAATGGGATACCCTCAGATCTTTGTTTAGCGGTAACTAGAACTAAGATCTGATTTTAATGAGATTGGACATACATCTAAAGTCTTCCCGTGAAGACGCCGGGGTAGAATAGGTCTTCAGCAACCCATACTTGCCGTAAAAGGCGACTATGCTTGTCGTTAAAGGCGACTAACGTGATCGGGTGGTCAGGCTCGCTGACATGGTTGATGCTTGTCATCGATTTCAATTGCGTGGATCGATGCTCATGATATTAATCACTGGATTGTCTGGTTCAGACTCGATTATTTACAGACTGCCGTCATATAGCTGGAATATTGCTGAGTGCGGCGTTAAACAACAAACAAAACAAAACAAACATCTAAAGTCCATGTTGTAATACATTATGCGATACCATTTTGCTGTAGGGAGCCTGAAATGCACAGATTACAGAGTCTATGTTGCCATGACAGCAGGGTATATATTTTACAGTTGTACCCTGCTCTAGCATGGAAATTTGTCCAAACATTCACTGTGATTGTTGTGATGCCCAGGAGGCCCAGAAGGATGAGAAGTCGGAGAAGGATGCGATCACCAAGGAGATAAAACCTGAGGCCAAGGAGAAACCAGGGGAAAAAGGGAGCAGCAAGGAGAAACCCCCCAAAGATGGCAAGGACAAAGGTACATAGCATATAGAGAAGGTGATGGGGAGACAAGGGGGTTGGGTTCCCATTTTGAAAATCTCATGTAAATAATTTGAAAATGACACACATCTTTTTAATATATTTAATTTGAATCACCTTTTAAAATTCCTGAATTTGTCCTTAGTTTGCATGGAGAGTTCAGTGGGAGTGAGGTTCATTTATGTGATAGTGTATCAAGAAACCCTGTACAAATTCTGAAAGCTTTCTGCAGGGAAACATCAACATCAATTCATTCCCTCACACACTCACTTTCTCACTCGGGGGCACGGGTGGCCCAGTCGTCTAAGGCGCCGCGATTCGCTGTGCAGAGTTGCGTCCCTTGGGCACGCCAGAAACCTATGATTGTGGGTTCGAATTCCGGTTCGCCCCGATTATGTTTCTAGGTTTGTCAGCACCATACCCGTGCTCGTGGGTTTCACCGGAGTGGTAAACGTCTGAGACCTGCATCACTTCAGGCTTTCCTCCCACATTAAGTTGACACGCCGCGATATGACTGGAATACTGTTAAAAGCGGCGTTAAACCCAACTCACTCACTCACTCACTCACTCACTCACTCACTTTCTCACTCACTTGTTCATTTGTTCACTCAGTCTGATGCCACACCCAAATGTGGGATAATTCCCCACCAGAACAAAGCCGTTGTCATTACCAGTTTTTAGGTTGGAGCATGAGTGACACATCAAGCTGACACACTTTCAAAAGTAAATGAAATATTGTTCAAAGTGGTATGAACCCCAAATCACTCACTCATGCACTCTAGTTTTAGTATGAATGTGATGTCATGTGAATGTCCTGTAGATAAAGGCAAGGAGGACAAGAAGGACAAGAAGGACAAAGACAAGGACAAATCCGACAAGGACAAGGACAAACATAGTGAGTTATTGTGGTTCTTAGATGCCATCATGGAAACTTCTGCAGCAAGCTTTGATGCAGTGTTAATTCTTGATCGTTTAGTCTTTGTATTATAACAAGTATATGAAGCAAAACGTTAGGGCTAGGACGACTCCCGTGTACCCACCCCCCTATTATCCAACCCTACCCGATCTAGGTCTCAAGAGATAGGTACAAAATGTTCGATTGGGAAACGTTCACGCATACACTGATGTTGAGTGAAGTTTTATCTTTATGCAAACATATAAAGTCAGAGGGAATGTGTGCATAGTCAGAAAGAAATGTGAACATTTGTCACTAATTGTGTAACCATATAGTTCCAGATAATTTCTGCCATTAAATAATATAATCACTTGACTAACCACGGGTCCGGATAGCCCTGTGGGTACCCAGCAAGCTCCATCACTGTGACTTCCTCCCAGGGGTGGTCCTGTCATCTAAGCTGTGCAGAGTTGTGTCCCTTGGGCACACCAGAAATCTATGATTGTGGGTTCTAATCCCGGATTGCCCCGATTATGTTTCTAGGTCTGTTGGGACCATACCCGTGCTCGTAAGTTTCACCGAAGTGGTAAACGTCTGAGACCTGCATCACTTTGGCTTTCCTCTCACTTTATAAGCTGATCACCGTGATATAACTGGAATACTGTTAAAAGTGGTGTTAAACCCAACTCACTCACCTGCTTGTTACCTCTCTGTATAGAGTGCAAGAAGCAAGTCATTGCTGTGAGGAGTGTGGCTACAAAGTGTCGCAGTAGATGAAACATTTCAAGTACCTGAATTGTTGAACAGACTTTTTGTTTAGTTTTTTTTTCACTTGTAAGTTGTTGAGTCGTTAGCCTATGCTAACATTGGTGAAGTTGGCATGATGGGTAATCAACAAATTAATAAGGTTAAAGTTGATTTGAAACATTTACTTCTTCAGGCATTTTGTACAATGACGGCACATTTTTGTCACTGGCTTGTCACCTTTTCACTGAGAATGAACACTAGATTACACCACTTATCAGAGACAGTAGCACAGCTGCATGTCCTTGTGTGTTTGTCATATTCAGAGCTGTTCAAAGCAAAATAACTTGAGTGTAACCATGCTAACAGCTGGTTTCTCTCAAGGAGTCCTGTGACACTAAAGAGGTCATACAAGTGTGATAAAAGCCATTTTTGGCCATAGGAAATGGAAAATATCAATGTTTAAAGAGACTTTAGAATTATTTTTTTAATTAGAAGAAAGGGTAATTGTCCACCATATGAACATTCTACTATCAAAAACTTGGGCTGGGTTTGTTATAAGAAGTAAAGAAGCATGGCAACAAAGCTAAAAAATGTAAGCCTTCGGCTTACCTATATATGGGTAAAGGACTAGCTCATGTCAAACAAATATAAGACCCTGTGGAGATTCCGGGATAGAATAGGTTCCCAGCATCTATGCTGGTCGTAAGAGGCAACAAAATGGATCAGGTTGTCAAGACTCAGTCACTTGGTTGATTGTGTGTCGCCGTACCCTGACAGCATGGTTTGTTGCTTACTATATCAGTCACTGGATTATCTGGTCAAAATTTAAATATTTCATTCAGCTGGAATCTTGCTGAGTGTGTGTTAACATCAAGCAAACAAACGAACAAATTTAAAATGGTCACAAAACCTCTGGAACATGTTTTAGCACTTCCACTGTATCTAATGGTGATTACAAGTCCTTGGTATGCTGTGATGGTTGACAAATCCAGTTGGCGTAAGGGTCTTATTCTATCTTGTCCTGTATCTGTGAGCATGCTGAGAGTCTGAGACACTTGCTGCTTGTGTGTCTACAGAGGAGAAGTCCGATGAGTCAGTTTTCCCAGAGAACCCGGAGGTCATCGTGTTCGCCTCCTACTGCAGCACGCCTAAATACCCTGTCAAGGTCTCTGTCTTGGGAGAAATGGTGAGTGAATGAGTGATGATGAAGATGATGATGATTATCAAGACAATGACATAACTGAGAAAATACTTCGAACTAATACTAATACTATGTTTATGAAGTCTCCATCCTGCGATAATTGGTAAGTAGATGATGATGACAATGATTATGATGATGATTATTATGATGGTGATGATTATGATGATGAACCAGATACCATAAATATGGTTAAAACTGCGTTAGAAATTGGCACTAGTCCTGCCGAGTACTTAAGGTATCATAAGGACGAGTAGAAATTTGCCATTTTTATGAGTTTTGCTTTATGTTATCATTGTAAGGACCAGTGGACTAAAAATGTTAGTTTCTAACGCTGGTTAAAATGGTTTTGACAATGACGACATTAATAAATTCTGTAAACCTATGTATCAGGTTACATAAATATACTGATGTATATCGTCATCTTAAAAGGTATGTTTAGGCTCAGTTATGTTCGCACACTAAAACAGAGATGAAATACACCAATCTAACTAACTGTGTTTGTACAGGCTGATGCGAGTGAAAGGTTACGCCAGACGGGATTGTCTCACCTGTACCCCCACCCCGTGTTGATCACACAGACACGGGCCTGTCCCCTCGAACCCCCACCCCCACCAGAGAAGATACCAGCCTGGAAACTCATCCGGCCACGCAAGAAGAAGACCACACCATCGGATGAACCCATTGGTAAGTCTAAAAATTTTGATATCTTTCATTTCTGTATTTTAATTCTGAATTTTTGGTACATTTTCGGAGCACTGGGCCTTCTATTTATTCTTTTTGGTGAGTTGTGTTCCTTAGTTGTGCCAGGATCTGCTGGTCATTGTTTTTGATCCCGATTTCTCCGATTATGACCCTGGGTTTGTCTGCACCTTACCCGTGCTCAAGGGTTTCAAATGATAGTTACCACATCTTTCTGAGGCAAGAGAGTTAACTGACTATAAAAGTCCATTTACCACCCTTGCCGAACTAGGCTGGTATTATCAAGTTACATTTTGGCTGGACTAACGAGTCTATGCATAGTCCAATCATAATCAAAATCCGGTTCGTAAACTGTCGTGCAGATTTCAGTCGATTGCAAGATTTGCAAAGCATGTGCACCACCAACTCGTTGTCATCAGATATTTTCCAAATCTTTTCATGTCTTTAATCAAGGTCTGTTTTATTACAATATTGATCTTGATTATCGATCAGATCGTCCTGACTGGGCGCCACCATTTTGTGTGAAGCAAACGGAAGTGATATGAGAGGTGGAATCTGATTGGTCCATAGGAGAGGCTTAGAAGGGACATAATTGGTAATAGCCACTGGTGGCGCTACGATCGAGCCCAGTAATTCTAACCTAGTTCGGCAAGGGTGGAAACTGGACTTTTAAAGTCAGTTAACCCTCTTGCCTCGGTAAGATGCAGTTGCCATTGCCATGATATGACTGAAACACTGCCTTAAACTTAACAAAAATAATTTGTGTTGTAATGTGTAATGTTTGACTGTATCAGCTGAACCGGAGCCCCCGAAACCGATCCAGTGTGTGGAGATCACTTCGCCCTTTGTGAACTACAAAGTCAGCCCAGTGCCTATACCTACTGATACGTAAGTAGAAAAAACCCTTGTGTGTGCAACTTGTTTGTTTGTTGTTTAATACCGCACTCAGCAATATTCCAGCTATTGAAGGCAGTCTGTAAAATATCGAGTCTGGACCACACAATCCAGTAATTGACATCCTGAGCATCGTTATACGCACTTGAGATATGATGACATGCATCAACCAAGTCAGTGGGCCTGACCATCCGATGAGCGTTGGTCACCTCTTACAACAAGCATGGGTTGCTGAAGATCAATTCTAACCCGGATCACCAAGTCTGGACCAGGCAAACAAGTGGTTGATAGCCTGATCAACGTCCGGCATCATGGGATGAAGACAATCATGCCAAGTTGGGAGACCATGACACAGCCAGCTCTTATTCCCTGTATTATTTCATTTCTAATGTAACATTACAAACTATTGACCCTGTGGATTTGATAGATGCCAGGAAACTATAATGAACGTAAGAGTCGACTTAAAGGCTCAGTGACAATTGGTTGATAGCATTCATCATAACACAACGGCGTGGATCATTGTTCAGAATATCGATCACTGGACTCAATTATTTACAGGCCTCTGTCGTATAGCTGTAATATTGCTGTTTTATAAACAATGTTTGAAGTGCTGCCCCACCGTACACAAGCAAAGGGAACATAAGTATTTCAGGAACAATGTGATTTCCGGGACCATCGTGACTGCAGATCAAAGATGGTGTCTGAAAATGAACTCAAAACTAAATTCCAAAATAACTATCATTGCACAAAGAAAGTAATTACTCAGTGATTGCAAGTTGATTTTAAGCAGTGTACAAAATATAGAGTTCAGGGCCCTGTTCCCAAAAGCGATCTTAGCGCTAAGGTGATCGTAACTCCCATACTTTAACATAGGTTTACGATCATCGTAGCGCTAAGATTGCTTTGTGGGGTCTGCTCCTATATTATTTGAATGTAGACCCCCTTTAAACTCTCACAACATTAGGGTTCTGATTGTAGCGCTAAGGTGATCGTAACTCCCATACTTTAACATAGGTTTACGATCATCGTAGCGCTAAGGTTGCTTTGTGGGGTCTGCTCCTATATTATTTGAATGTAGACCCCCTTTAAACTCTCACAACATTAGGGTTCTGATTGTAGCGCTAAGGTGATCGTAACTCCCATACTTTAACATAGGTTTACGATCATCGTAGCGCTAAGATTGCTTTGTGGGGTCTGCTCCTATATTATTTGAATGTAGACCCCCTTTAAACTCTCACAACATTAGGGTTCTGATTGTAGCGCTAAGGTGATCGTAACTCCCATACTTTAACATAGGTTTACGATCATCGTAGCGCTAAGGTTGCTTTGTGGGGTCTGCTCCTATATTATTTGAATGTAGACCCCCTTTAAACTCTCACAACATTAGGGTTCTGATTGTAGCGCTAAGGTGATCGTAACTCCCATACTTTAACATAGGTTTACGATCATCGTAGCGCTAAGATTGCTTTGTGGGGTCTGCTCCTATATTATTTGAATGTAGACCCCCTTTAAACTCTCACAACATTAGGGTTCTGATTGTAGCACTAAGGTGATCGTAACTCCCATACTTTAACATAGGTTTACGATCATCGTAGCGCTAAGATTGCTTTGTGGGGTCTGCTCCTATATTATTTGAATGTAGACCCCCTTTAAACTCTCACAACATTAGGGTTCTGATTGTAGCGCTAAGGTGATCGTAACTCCCATACTTTAACATAGGCTTACAATCATTGTTATGCTAAGATTGCTTTGTGGGGTTTGATCCTATATATTATTTGAATGTAGACCCCCTTTTATCTTAAACTCTCACAACATTAGGGTTCTGAGCCATTGACTTTTATGCTTGGCTTTAAACAGTGTTAAGGGATGCTTAAAATGGTTTTGTTTGTCAAGAGCTAGATGTTTTAGCTGAACTGAATCTGTCGAAGTAATAGTCAAGTCCGATCATGTACTGTAATGCTGACTATCCATGCTTGTATGCAGGCACCGACCCCGCTCCTCCCTAGAGCGAGGTGGCACCCGGTCACGCCCCAACACGGGGAACGTCGGGGCGATTGAAGAGACAGATGAGACCACGCAGGAGCTGGAGCTGTCAGCAGAGGAGAAGAAGGACGAGGAGTTGCTGGAATCCTTCATTGTGGAGGACAACTCCAAGGTAAGATGGCAATACAGATGGAGAGGGGCAGTGGGTGACAGTATGAGTAGTATGATAGTGTCAGTGAAGTCAGGGTGTCATTGTCACATTAGTGGGCATCTTCCCGAGGCAAGTGAGTTAACTGACTATAAAAAGCCAGTTTCCACCCTTGCCGAACTAGGCTGGTATTATGGAGTAACATTTTGGCTGGACTAATGAGTCTCTGCATAGTCCAATCAAAATCGTGCACCGAAATCGAAATCCGGTTCGTAAAGTGTCATGCAGATTTCGGTCGACTGCAGGATTTGCAAAGCATGTGCACCGCTAACTGGTTGTCAACAGATATTTTCTAAATCTTTTCATGTTTTTAATCAAGGTGCTCACGTGATTTGATGCACTTCGCGATGTAAGACTCGTTTTATCACAATTTAGATCTTGATTATCGATCAGATCGTCTTGACTGGGCGCCACCGTTTTGTTTGAAGCAAATACAAGAGATACGAGAGGTGGAATCTGATTGGTCAGTAGGAGAGACATAGAAAGGACATAACTGGTAATAGCCACTGGTGGCGCTACGATCGAGCCCAGGAATTCCAGCCAAGTTCGGCAAGGGTGGAAACTGGACTTTTAAAGTCAATTAACTTGCCTCGGGAAGATGATTAGTGGGGTACTGAGGACCTTTTCTGCCCAGGAATTGTCCTTGAACTGATCGCATCCCACCAACAGGTAGTGACAACAAATATGTCGGGTCATGACAGATTCTGAAACTTCTTATAAATAGTAATAGACTGAGACCGGTATTGACATTTTACTGTTAGTTTGGTACCACCCTAGACTGTGTGTTGATTATTTGGATGTTTTAGCATGAATTTCAACACTAATTGTTGCTTCTTGTACAGTGTGAAGAACATCTTGATGCAAAGAGCGCATCAACCAAACCTGGCTCTCCCAAGAAGAAGACAAGCTCCGCCAAGAAGGAAGGCAGGGACACAAGCAGAGAGGTAGACACAGCTGTTTATATGTAGATGAACAAAAGTCTAAAACTTTAGTTTAGTGACCATGAAACTAAGCAGTTTCAAAATGGTGTTGTCTGTTGGTGACTTTCAAATTCTCTCACTTAGCTAATGGAATGTACCTGTAATCTCAGAAGGACGACTAGCACCACAATAGGGTTGTGATTTGTTCGTGGTTTTAAACATTTTTTTTGAAAAACGTTTAATTGTCTACTCAGGAATAAAATGGTACAGGATGCTGAAACCTTTTTATTATGTGGAGCAACACAGATTTGGTGAATTATATTCTACCTCAATATACCAACATGAGCAGCCATATGTGGTTATTTTCACCTGCTACATCTGTCTCTTCTTCCAACTCTGTTTGAAAACTATATAATAATTTTTGGAAACTTTTAGCATTGCATTGGTACTGAGTCAGTGTGTCTCTCTCCAGCAGTCTCCTAAGCTGGACAGGAAGGGCAGTAGATCGTCTGCCACAACGGGGAGGCCGGAGAGAGCTAAGAGTGCTTCTCGCTCCGACTCCCGCCAGTCCAAGAAAGATGGCGAGGAAGAAGGAAAGAAGAAGGACAAAGGTTGGTAGGAGATGGTCTGATTCAAGAACTAATTTTGAAAACATGCTATGCATTTGAAATATAAACAAACAATAGTTTCTTTCAGAACTTCAAAACCGTTAAATATTTCTTATTGAAAATATATATTTTTGGTGATCAGCCTCGTGGAGAACTAGTGCATTTTGGTGATTTGGGATTTTTATTTTATTTTGTTATGGTTTCATGATTTTTCATGATGAAAAGAAGTTGTTTTTTGTTTCCTGAGTAGAACTCCCCAACCCTTCAGTTTTTTTTTTTGAAACTTGCTATATAGATAAGTCTTGTGGGGAACTAGTGCCTTTTGGAGATTTGGGTGTTTTTTTTTTTGTGTGTGGGCGGGGGGGTAGTCCGTGATGATAAGTTATTAATCTGAAAATAGGGGTAGTGCTTGTTTCTGGATGAAAACTCCAAAACTGTTACATATTTCAAGATGAAACTTGCTGTACAGATCAGTCTAGTGGTGAACTTTGTGCCTTTTTGAGATTTTTTGACAAATATTGTTGTTTTTCTTCACTGAACTGAAAGTATCAAGTGGCAATGAACCAAAAGTGGGGTATAAGTAGCCAAATTCCATTTCCAAATTGCACCAGCCCATGGAGATATGTCATCTCCTGATGACTCTTGTAACATACAACATTGGCGCTGTGACTTAGATGATTGAGTTCATGGTACCCTGATGGCATTGATTGTTGCTCCTACTTCTGTCTTGCCCTCACTCGATCATCTACAGCCTGGAATATTGGCAGATATTTCTGGTTGTGTCATCAATCAACATTACATGAATAAGGATAAAGTGGAGACACCCTGTGACAAATTGTAGGAATGATAAGACAACAGGAAAGAAGTGTTCAGTATTTGACGTGCAGCGATATTGTTTGGCAGTTCCAACTGAGGTAAAGCCAGCTCCGACACCGGCGCCGCCAGCCAAAGCTACAACCCGGCAGGATTCTGTATCCGGAGACACAGTGGAGGAATCGGTGGGCCTGGAAGCTGGGGAGGAGCAGATGGTGGAGGCAGAACTGACAGACATCGGGTTGGAGGACAGCACCCCAAAACCCAAGAAGCTGTGGGTGGACTTTGACCAGTTCTGCAGATGCTTCAAGTAAGTGGGCAGATCGGGTGGTCAGGCTCGCTGACTTGGCTGATGCATGTCATCGATCCAAATTGTGTGGATTGATGCTCATGAAGTCAATCACTCTATTGCTGAGTGCGGCATTAAATAACAAACAAACAAACAAACTGTATAGCTGTGGGTGTTAACACTCTCCCCATGAAGACAGCATTGTAGGTGGTGCTTCCATGTGACTTCATATTTGATACATCTCAGGTCAATTCAGGTGATGATAACAGGTTGTTTTATGTCACATTTTGGTGCAAAGTTATGTCAAATCCTGTAAAAGTGGCATGGTTGCATGGCCCAATGGCCTATGACAACATAATTAGCGTCCATTCGTTTGCTAGGATCTACTATAGTCCTTGGTTCTTTTGTCCTTGTTTGCTCAATACCTGTGTTTGTCAGCTCAATAGCTGTGTCTGTCAGCTCAGTACCTGTGTTCATCAGCTCAATACCTGTGTTCATCAGCTCAATACCTGTGTTCATCAGCTCAATACCTGTGTTCATCAGCTCAATACCTGTGTTCATCAGTTCAATACCTGTTTGTTATCTCAATACCTTTTTGTCAGCTCAATACCTGCATCTGTCAGCTCAATACACGTGTTTGTCACAATCACCAAAGTGGTTACCATCTGTGACGTGCACCACTTCCAAATATCTTCCATTTTAATAATCTGACTATGATGAAACTGAAATTACTCACTCGCAACAAGTACATTTGCCCCCATTGTGGAAACACACAGTAGCCAAAGCACTGCAGGCACAACTTGGAACATTCCTTGAAAAGTTATCTCCCTTGATGTCACTTATTTGAAATTGTTTTGTGTGCCATTTCCAGTTTTACACATTAACAGAACTAACAGCAATGAACTGATATTTCACCTTGTATAACTAATGAAAACTTCTTTTTCTTTCAGAACATTGTACATTTATCACAAGCCAAATACATATCCATGCAATCAAAAGTATTCTGACTTGAAGGTAAGTTTGTGATATGCTCCTTGAGACATTCCTTGTGTCATAGAATAGAATATGTTGCTACTTTGGATTATATGTGAGATTAAAGTATGTTTGTAGTGGATATTTTACCAGCTAAGGAGGTGTCTTTCATATTATTTGGATTATTGGTCCTCCAATTCTCACAAATTTGAAATAATATTTTAACATGAACAGACTTCCCATATAGTCTTTTAACACACTTGATTAATAAAAGAAAACTGGAAGTTGATCGATATGGGAAGAGAGGTAAGTCTTTGATGAAAAATATCTGTGGACCAAGTAATAAGAAAGGCGTCAAGGGGCTTTTTGTCCATTACTTACCATGTTATTGCATTTCCAGTTAGTCATATCTAGAGCCTTTAGAGAAATATCCTTGTAGCCAGCCATGTTAAAAGTGTAAACTTTCTATAGCAAGCAGTCCCTGTGTTTCTGTTATTGTTACTAGTTAACCTATAGCTGCTGTTTTTGTGATATCCATGCTATCAGAGACTGGAGGCCTATATTACCGCACAGGTTGGTAGATGTTATTGTGTCGTTACAGTATTTGTACATGGTCAGACTTACTGGCTTGGTTGATGCATGTCACCGTATCCCAATTGTGTAGATCAATGCTCATGATGTCCATCACTGGATTGTCTGGTCCAGACTCAATTATTTACAGACTGCCGTCATAAAGCTGAAATACTGCTGAGTGCGGAGTTGAACAACAAACAAACAAACTTTGAAGGAGTAGGGGGAGATGGGGTAGTGGTTGAAACATTCTCTCGTCACCAAAAAAGCCTGTGCTTGATTCCACACATGGGTACAATGTGTGAAGCCCATTTCTGGTGTCCCTGAAGTGATATTGCTAAAACCAGTATTAAACCATTAAAGTGGTGCCAGGCTTAGCTCAATTTGCTGTCCCAGCTAGTTCAATCTAATTGTAACCTCTGTGAATGCTGACTCATATGTTTTGAGGCACATCAACCCTGCAGTTAATGATTACTCGTATTACACAGAGGCCAGTTTGACTTTATTACCTTGACAAGAAATGACCACCAGACCATTGTGTAGTCCCCTTAAGTATCTGATGTGGAAGGATGTGAAAAATAGCTACCCACTCTCAATGCTTCTTATAAGAGCTGACTACTATGGCGATATATTTGTGTCAATATTTTTGTGTCTGTGTATATTTTCTTTCTGCATGGTACTGTTTTGTTATGATTGTTCTACATTAAACAGGTGTTTATGTTTCTATAGTTGTGATGAACTTGGAATGTGTTAGCTTTGTTTATTTCTGCAAAAACAGTGACAGTTTATTCTGTTGCCTAAGATATCCATATGTTAGAGTCTTTAATATACATTGGAATATTGACATATGGTCCATCAACTTGACTTCAAATATACCCTTGAAGATCCAGGTTAGAATAGGTCTTCACCAACCCATGCTTGCCGTAAAAGGCAACTTACAGGATCGTGTAGTCAGGTTCGCTGACTAGGTTGATGCATGTCATTGTATCCCAATTGCATTGATCGAGGCTCATGATATCGATCACTGGATTGTCTGGTGCGGACTTGACTGTAGACTGCCGTCCAGCCTGAATATTGCTGACTGTGGCATTAACAACAAAACAAAAAACTTAAAAAATGCTGGAACAGCTAATAAAAGAACTAAATAATAAAAGTGTTTGGGACAAGAAAGTCCCAGAATTTCACCACCAGAGGTATTTCAACCATTAATTCCATGAGTTTGATAAGCATAGGAATACATCCTCTGATGTCAACCTGTTCTGTAATAATCGCAATAATCACGATGACCCTGCTGATTGAGATGTTCCTGTTTCAGAATGTGGCTCCCCAGGGTCTCCAAGCTACTGGGGGCAAAGCCGACAAAAAACCCGCCCCTGCTGCCGCCGGGGTAAATCCATCCGCCTCCAAGACCTCTCAAACTCCTACCCACACCCAAAATGCACCCTCCCCCACTAATGCCCAGGGAGTGAGTATACAAGTTCACTGCAGGCTTTTATCTACAGACAGGGACAGAGCTCTACTTGCATGTGCCAGACACTTGTGTTGTGGGTTTTGTCAGCAGTTTGATAACATATCCATGGTTGGGCATTGCTGTTTGTTTTGCTGGCCCTGACTGTGGATGGTTATCAATTTGTGTGTTTTCTATGTACAGGACTGTATTAAAAAGTTGTATGCCAAAGAAAAATTATTTTAATAGTAAAATGCTCATGAAATTTTGAAAAAACAGATTGCTTTCTTGAATTCAGTCTGTTATCTCTCTTCTGAAAATGTGTTGAAAAACATGGCATAACTTACTACTTTGGGTACCAAATTAACTGGAATTTTTAATTTAAATTGCTACTTAATGTAAAAATTGAGATACAGTTCTGTTAGCAAAATATACTCCGGACAAAAACATGATAATTGATATATTTTTGTATTGTTTTTTTTCCATTTTAATTTCCAAAAGACACAACTTAAGTTACCACTTATTTGATATTTGTTTGGAGTATATTGCTACCATCATGAAATACACAAGCATTTTTCATCTTGACCTTCCAAATGATTGAAATAATCATTTGTTCAGTCTGTCATAAAGCTCCAGGATTTATTCGGTCTGCATTAAAAAGAGATAGTTCTTTCAACATACATTCTTTCCAAATAACTTGTAAATAAAAAAATTTCAAGACTTGCAGATAATTGATAATTGTATGAAATACGCAAGATGAAATGTGCATGTGTACACACTGTAGATTTCCGTCAATTGCATGAACTGACGTAGGGAGCTCTGTCACCTTGTTTTTGAAGATTTGAAAATTGGTGTGAAATTTTATGATTTGATGACAAAAATATTGCCCTGTCGCATGTTTTATGGCAGTTTCCTAGATTTATTAACTGATCAGTTTTATGGTTTTATGTATTTCCACTAATATTGAGTTGGTTGGTTGGAGTTTATTCAATCAAATAGTTTAACCAAATTACAATGAATTCATAGATTTCGGTAAGTTTGTTTTAGTCATTAAATTCTGAACATATCTAATTTTGAAATCAAGGCACAAGTTTGGAATGGAAGTTTGATGTGTTCATTATTGAAAGGGCGTATGATTAATAGCAACATAATTGAACAAGCTATCCCTGCAGTGACACATTAGGTGCTTTTGGTGTTGTGGTAAGAATTTAGTCATGATTTAGTGGATTTTCCTCCACAAATTATCTCTTGATTTCTAATTTATGTCTTCCTCTCTAAGTTCTAATCAGTTCCTTCGTCAGTTAGAAATCTTTAGTTCTAAATGTATGAATTGTTAATACCTTGAACAAACTAATTAGTTAAACTCTTAACCATGCTATCATTCACTTTTTTAAAACCTTGATGTTGTAGTTGCAATGAGTGATGTGTAACTAACATGAATAATTTACGTTTCATTTTTTAATGGTTTTGGTTTTGTTAGATAGACGTTACAAATAGTATTAGTAAGACCAAACCAAGTTGTCTTGTGACGATGTTCTGTTGGTCAATATGCCAAGCAAAAAGATTAATATATACTGCTCAATGTTTGATAGGGAAAGGGAGTATCCATGTCAGGTCTGGATGTGACAGATGGCTCAGATATGTTGTCCTACGAATAGTACGAGAATTTGCCATGGAACTGAAACCTGTGCAGCTTTATTAAAAGTTGTTTAATCATTAATAACAGTTCTGTTGGTTGTGTGTTACATCACATTATAGCTAAAATGGATAGAATTATAATTAAACTGCCCGCATGTTATCAGGAATGAGCAGGCCACTGTAACTTGATAATGCCCTCATATTGCTTGATGACAGGCCATTAACACGCCTGTTGTTAGGTGACGTCATAGGGATAGGGATAGGTGACGTCACATTCAATAGTGACGTCATCTGGTTTGTTCTATGTCGTTTCCATATTTGTACAGGTGGGTCAGTGACATTTATGTTGATTGCGGTAAATGTTCAAAACAAATATTGTTGTTTCTTTTTATTTGAGAACAAATTCCATCCATTTTGGCTATAATAATGGTAACGCTGTTTTTCAGGGCATAATCATTTGCAGAAGCCCTCTGTCTTTTCAACTGCCTTCCTTTGTTAATGGAAGACCTCAGGCTTAATTCTGCAAGTGAAAATACCCTGAAAAATAGCGTTACCCTTATAGTATATCTTAGTATCCTTATCAAATGTTGAGTAGTGTATTTGATACAGGGATGATTTGAAGTTGTACCTAAAAAAGAAATCTGTTCTAATAAAAGATGTAATTAAGTGCAGACTAAAGGTATTCAACATCAGAATATTTATTTTTTTGACATTTTGAGGGCAAGTTCTTCCACTGAACAAAAGACAATTGGTCTGGCATGATAACCACATGCTCATGTTAACATTTGTGTATCTTTAATTGGGTGGATGATAGATCTTCCACTAGTGTAGAACCATCTTCCCGAGGCAAGAGAGTTAACTGACTTTAAAAGTCCAGTTTCCACCCTTGCCGAACTAGGCTGGAATTACTGGGCTCGATCGTAGTGCCAGTGGCTATTACCAGTTATGTCCCTTATAAGCCTCTCCTATGGACCAATCAGATTCCACCTCTCATATCACTTGCTTTTGCTTCACACAAAATGGTGGCGCCTAGTCAAGACAATCTGATCGATAATCAAGATCTTTATTGTGATAAAACGGGTCTTACATAGCGAAATGCTTCAAATCATGTGAGCACCTTGATTAAAAACATGAAAAGATTTGGAAAATATCTGATGACAAGGAGTTGGCGGTGCACATACTTTGCAAATCCTGCAATCGACAGAAATCTGCATGACAGTTTACGAACCGGATTTTGATTTGGGTGCGTGATTTTGATTGGACTATGCATAGTCTCGTTCGTCCAGCCAAAATGTAACTCCATAATACCAGCCTAGTTCGACATGGGTGGAAACTGGACTTTTATAGTCAGTTAATTCCCTTGCCTCGGGAAGATGGTGTAGAACCAGTAGAAATGAATACTTACTTTGTTGAAAATAGAATGTTTATGAAGATAGATAGTGAGATTTCTAAACCTGTGTGTGCTGATTGTAGAGTATCATTGATGGTGATATATTGTCTCATATATGTAAAAATACTTCTAGATGTAGATGATTAACTCTCATATCAATATCAGTCTCAATAACTGTAATCATTCTGCAACATATAGGTATGATAAAACATTATTTCCTCACAGAATTTAACAATGTAATTGACCAGTCTGACTTTCAACATGTAATCATGTCTATTTCGCTGTGTGATGTAGAGTAGTGACTGACAGATATGTACAAGGGGAAATCTACATGGGGATATTGACATCTGTTTATTTTTCATGCTGTGTTTCAGACATCCAGTCCTGATGACCGCTCGCCTCACTATTTGTGTATCCTTCCATTAATTTCTGTGAATGTCTGTTTTGATAAAATAGACTTTTAGCTCACGGAAGAGGATTTAGCTTATGGATTGGTGCATTGTCCAATATTACCCATAAGGGTAGCATAATCGTGCTTAATAACTTGCCGATATTTGAACATATGATTTTACCTATTCTCAATGCTCATTGGTCAGTTGAAGCCATGTGACGTCACATCACTTCAGTGTTGAGAAAAAATGGCCATGAGGTCACAAATTGGCTGCTGTCAGTGACATTTCTCTGTAGGATTGACAATTCATACATATTTTCTTAATTTTCTCTTAAACTGCCAATGAGTAATTAATATATAGAGTAATCTTGTGAATGAATGCTCTCCAAAGGCTCAGGATCAAAACCATTTGTTCATTTGTAACATAATCTGTAAATCCACATCGCTCATTGGTTTTTCTCCAACTATCTCTCTGTTAGTTCATCTGTTAATGTTACATCTCCAACCATCCATTGTTTAAGGCGTCGCGATTCGCTGTGCAGAGTTGTGTCCCCTGGGCACGCCAGAAACCTATGACTGTGGGTTCGAATTCCAGATCGCCCCGATTGTTTCTAGGTTTGTCAGCGCCATATTTGTGCTTGTGGGTTTCACCGAAGTGGTAAATGTCTGAGACCTGCATCACTTCGGGCTTTCCTCCCACATTAAGCTGACACGCTGTGATATAACTGTAATACTGTTAAAAGCTGCGTTAAATCCAACTCACTCACTCCTCCAACCCAGTCTATTACTATGATTGCCTTCATATTTGCTTTAATTGTACTTTTTCAGATAAGTGAAAAAACACTTTAAAAATATTCTTAAACTGAATTAAGTATTAAGTAGTCGATCGATGGATTTGAGTGAAAATATGTTTGTAGATACTATTATTAATATTATATAAACCAAGTCAAGTACGAAGCTGCCATATCAGTCAATTTCAAGGAGGTCAAAGGTAATTCTGGTACAAGATAATATTAATGTAAACTATATTTGACAACATTTTATTTACTTATCTTAATCAAGAAACAGAATTATAACTGTTTGATTAGTTGAGTGATTTTACTTTCCGAGATTGATAATGGTGTCCTTAACTGTGTGAAGTTGTTGACAATTTGGAGGCCACAGATATAGTGGTTTCATTCTCGGCCCTGCCGCGGTGGTTTGATCCCCCGCTTCCTCCCATGGACGAGAAGAAGTCTCACACCAGTGTGAAGGGAGGGAAAGACAGGGACCTGGAGAAGGAACCCACGGGTCTCACCAGCAGTAGTATACTTGATGGTAAATATACACACATATCACTTGTTGGTGTAATGTTGAAAACAGGCTTAATGGCATATACACAAAACAAATCATGTCTGTAGCCACCTTCCCAAGGTAAGGGAGTTTGACATCGGGCTTTGGTAGATTATATTCCAAAGATACTATCAAGCATCTTCCCAAGGCAAGAGAGTTAACTGACATGGAAAAGTCCAGTTTCGACCCTTTGCCGAGTTAGGCTGTAATTTCTTGGCTCGATCATAGCGCCACCTGTGGCTATTACGTGATTTGTCACCTTTATGTCCCTCCTATTGACCAATCAGATTCTCACTTCTCACTTGGATTTGCATAAAGAAAATGGCGGCTCCCAGTCACGAGGATCAGATTGATAATCAAGATCTTTATTGTGATAAAACGGGTCTTACTTTGCGAAGTGCATCAAATCACGTGAGCACCTTGATTAAAAACATGTTGAAAATATCTGTTGAAGCTGAGTTAACAGTACACATGCTTTGCAGATCCTGCAACCCTTCACTCGTCAGATACCAGAAGTATTCACTCGTTTCATGTAATTGGTATTACACGGGAGCTCTTTTAGTTTTCTATATATATTTTGTACCAAGGGACATAACTCAAAAGGCAAGATTCATCAATTGGAATGTTACTGTCCAACTTAATGGGTTTTGTTGTTTAGCAAAATGTCGGAAGAATATTAAAATAAATGTTTATATTGTCAAAGTTAACAAGATAGAGATTTCTTCTTGTGATTTATAGGTCTTAATGAATATGTGGTGGATGTTCTGTAGGGTCAATCAGTCCGGAGAAGCCAACATTTCCAGTACCAGTTCATCCTGGTACCCTGGTAGCGGAGCCGTATTCCTGGAAGAGTCTGGTAACTGGACAGCCGATTCTGAGACTGCGGACAACTGCCAGCAGAGCTGCGGTGCTGAGTCTCCCAGCTGGGTCAGTAGCAAGCATCTTCATCAGCTGTTGTTGCCATGGTTTCTGATATGTCTATGTTTGTACGTGGTTACTGCAGCAGAATAGGTCCCTGGTCTATGTTTGAAGTTATGTTGTAGTCTTCTCTCCAGCAATAACTCAGTTTGTTACTCCTTAAGAGATTTGCGTTTCAAACCATTCCTTTTGGGATTTTGGAATAGTCTCAAGGACTGCATGCTGTTTGTCGGAGGTGACTAAAATTAGGATTCAGGGTTTTTCACTTCACCATGTCTGTCATGAGCTATGGCCACTTTGTGAAACAGACCCCGGACCCCGGACCCCGTACCCCGGACCCCGGACCCTGGACCCTGGACCATGGGAATGAGTACATCTTGAAATGTGTGTGATTGAGTGAATGGAACAATGGTCAGACTACAGGCTGCAGTGTTAGATTTTTATCATTACAACCGGTAAATGTTGAGTCCAACACCCCGCTTGTTGAAAATAGGAGCAACTGTCAACACTGGTTGGGTACAGTGACTCCCAGTCATCCCGATCCTAGGGTGTTCCCACCCCTCATTTTAGTCATCATATCACAAACACAGCTTAGGTGCTGGGCAGCCATCGGACATGTATGTGTGTATAACCTGCTGTTCCCATGTTGCAGGCGTCATGTTCTCCGCTTCATGATGACTGGACCACTCGGCTATCATGTCCACCTGTGTTCCGCCACGCAGTTTGTGTTTGGAGACGAGGAGACTGTCATGTCGCAGCTCACCAATGTAAGTACACACATAAAGTAATATGTCATGTAACATTGTTGCATAACTTGTTTATTTAAATGCTGAACTGAAGAAATGCTATTAATACCATTGACCCTTTATTTCACTTAAGTTGGGTTTTGTTTAACCTATGTAACATATCAATGACGTAATAACGTAAAATAATTCATGTCTTTTAACATCTTTCCTTGGCTGTTTTAACTACCATTTTGAGTCAAAAGAAATATTATTATTTCTTGAAAATAATCTTTTATCAAGTTATTAACAAATCCTTTTTGCAAATTCAGTTGACAAATCATAAAAATTGACAATAATCATGTAATTTCAGGAAAGTTGTCGTTTCCGTGACAACGCAGTCCAGGTGATCACAAATCTGGGAAAATGCATCAACAACCTCGGTGACACAGAGATGTTCCGACAGGCATGGGAGGACCTGGTCCAAAGTCACTGCCCATACCGCAATGACAAACTCATGTCCAAGACTCACCACTTCCAGGTAGGTGACCGGGCTCGCTGATCTCAGTATGATGTACATTCAGGTGAACATGCTCAGTCATGACTCACAGTGAAGACTGTTCACCTTTTACAATAGTTTCTGGAGGCATTATTCTTCTTGAGGCCTTCTACTTCTTGAGACATTATACTTCTTGAGGCCTTCTACTTCTTGAGGCATTATACTTCTTGAGGCATTATACTTCTTGAGGCATTATTCTTCTTGAGGCCTTATACTTCTTGAGGCCTTATACTTCTTGAGGCCTTATACTTCTTGAGGCATTCTTCTTCTTGAGGCCTTATACTTCTTGAGGCCTTATACTTCTTGAGGCATTCTTCTTGAGGCATTATACTTCTTGAGGCATTATACTTCTTGAGGCATCTTGAGGCATTATACTTCTTGAGGCATCTTGAGGCATAGAGTTATCGTAGTGCTAAGGTTATCCATGACACCCATAACACAGACGTACCAGTGTCTTGCGTTACAGTCGCCTTGGTGAACAGGGCCCTCCTCCACAAAGTTTACAAACACGTCACAAGTTATAAAATCCAATATAACAATTTGCTCAGCTGTAATTATGTGATCTCTATTTTCTATTTCAGGTGTTCAATGAATCTCTGTACAGCATGCTGAAGCGAGCGCTGAAAGATGTTATCACCTCTAACATGGCGTTTGCATGGAGGGCTCTCAATTTCGATGCCACATCTTCCAATATAATGGGTCTGACTGTTGGGAGTCGACCAGGTTGGTAGCTGAACTAAACATGCCTCATGTCACTTGAACAACTGTCATGACACTTGACCTCTCATGACATTTGACCTCTAATTTTTACATAAATTAAGAGTGTTCTGCCCTTTATTAAAGCCTCCTCTTTGAGAAAAATAGCTATTTCATAAGGCTGCATTTGTTTTGTTTCTTTTTTAAATTTGTTAATTGTAATGTAAGTGTGACTGAGTGAGCTAATATTTAATGTCCCATGTTTCAGCCATAAAACAACCTCTTGTCAAAGATTCATTTTTTTGGCTACATATTGTCAGAACCTGATCTAATACTAATAGCTAGCAAAATGTCTTCTTTAGTTTCATCACATATTATCAATGGACATTAAGCATGTAGCCAGTCCCCTCTCTATTTGGCTTCCAAATTTGAGGCCTTATACCCATCAGTGGCCACAAGGATGGATTGTGTCTCAAAGCCTATTGGTGACTATTATAATATCTAATGGTGATGATACAAGTTTTGAGTTATTGTTATCATATTTAATACTTATGCGTGAAATGTGAATCTCAATTAATCATTGTACAATGCGGTAGCTCTGTAAGTATTTTGAAGAAAATAAGGTGCCAGACATGTCCCTGAGAGGAGTTTGTCCTAGCCTGCTGTCAAGATTGCTTCTTCATTTGGCTTTTGCATCAGATTTTGGAGCTCTAGTTATTTGAATCCAAGTGTTATGACAGTTATCTCAAACTGACAACATTTTCTAGGTGCCCCTGAGGAAGTGCTTCCCAACACAAGCATGAAACGTATGCATTTTTTTTCCATCAAAGAAGTAGAAAATTTCGTTGTGTGCTTCATCAATTTCTAGCAAAATTTGCTGTTTTACAAAAATTTGTCCTTTTTAGAATGTTTGTTATTGGTTGAAGGGAATATAAGGATAATAAATGAGTCGACTGAACTTCTATTATTTTTCTTTAATGTTTATAAAACATATTTACAAGTTTTTTTGTCAATCAGAAATATGACCCTTTTTAATGATAATGGATTCTGTTAAAGATTTTGAATTAAATGCAAATTTTGACTAGAAATACCAAGATTTTTCACGCTAGATGTTCAGACTCAGTTTTCTCTACACATTAGGTGGACCACCCACATGTTAACTTTCTTTTCCAGTTTGGTTTGGCCGAGTTGTAGCTTGCAGGCTTTCGCTGAATCATAGATGTCTTTTATGTTTTGTTGCAAAAACGTAGTCACATGACCGGTAGTTGACCAATCAAATTTCAGCCACTGGTTCGACTAGTCACCGGGGTTCAGCGAAACCCGGAAATAAGGGAAAGCGTAAGTTGCTGAAATCCACCTAGACTAACAGCTTTGATTCTGTATGTTGTGTGTGGTTGCGGGTCGTCAATTTCATGTACATTGCATTGTTGTCACTTGCACATGTGTCTTTGTGTGTATCAACAAACTCTGTGGAAATAACTCCTTTGTAAATGTTTTCAGTCGCAATTTGGTGAATTTAGATTACGACTATTATTTGAAACTATTAATCGACTTGTGCTGTATGTTCTCGTCCAGTTTTAAAAGCGTTTATTCATGGCACAAAAATTCTTTTCCTTATGAGGGTATTAGCCACTTTGATATTTCATGTCAGTGTTTACACTCTTAGCTTCATACCATTTCATTTTATTATTCCTTAAAATAGTCTGGCCAAATTTGGTCATTAATAAATCTATTTTTGTCATGGAAGTATTTTTTGTAGATTATGGCTTAATATTTTAATTATTATTGCCAACATTATGCCAATAGGTTTTTCCTTTTTGCGATACATTATTTGATAGAGTTTGTTGCACACACAAATGTATTCCTGGTGGAGGTTTGTATTGTGTGGTGTGTGTTAAATTGAGTGTTAAATGCAAATTATGGTGACAGGCTCTACGTGCTTCTCTGCTTTCACACAAGATCACATGCAATCACGGGTATGTGAGGAATTTGAGTTTGACATCGGGCTTTGGTAGATTCCAAAGATACTACCAAGCATCTTCCCGAGGCAAAAGAGTTAACTGACTTTAAAAATCCAGTTTCCACCCTTGCCGAACTTAGGCTGGAATTACTTGGTTCGAGCGTAGCGCCACCTGGAGCTATTACCAGTTATGTCCCTTCTAAGCCTCTCCTATGGACCAATCAGATTCCACCTCTCGTATCACTTGAATTTGCTTTACACAAAATGGTGGCGCCCAGTCAGAACTATCTGATTGATAATCAAGATCTTTATTGTGATAAAGCGGGTCTTACATCGCGAAATTCATCAAATCACATGAGCACCTTGATTAAAAACATGAAAAGTTTTGGAAAATATCTGCTGACAACGAGTTGGCAGTGCACATGCTTTGCAAATCCTGCAATCGACCAAAATCTGCACGACATTTTACGAACCGGATTTCGATTTCGGTGCATGATTTTGATTGGACTATGCATAGTCTTGTTAGTCCAGCCCAAATATAAATCCATAATACCAGCCTAGTTCGGCAAGGGTGGAAACTGGACTTTTATAGTCAGTTAACTCCCTTGACTCGGGAGGATGCTACCAAGTTGTAGGATTGTTTTGTGGAACAAGACCTAATCTATATGCAGTCTCAGTGTATATAACATTTATCATACATTTGAATTATCCTTCACATGAGCCACATGCTATTAGCGTTTTACTTCATTTTTTTTGCATTTTTAAAAAACAATTGTTAGTTAGAATTTTAGAATCAAATTCAGTAAAGGCTTGCTTTATGACTATCCCAAACACGTATATACTGACACATCAACCTTTCAAGGCCATACTTTTTCTTGGTGGTTACAGAAGTTTTGTGGAAAATACTGTTTAATGGGGAAGAAATAGATGTCACTTTAACAGAGTGGTGTAGGGGGTGATCTTTAAGCAGTTACCTGAATATGTTGGTATGTGTGAGGTCGGGGTGGAGCAGTGAGTGGTGGAACCATGGTTTTGTACATGAACAAGCAAGGTTGATGAACACAAATGTTCAAGAAAACTGTTTTGTTTTAATATTATTTAGCACAGATTTTTTTGGATCAACACATTATTTCGCGTTAGTTTTACTTTATATATTTTTACCACTTTCCTTTATTTTTGGGTGGTAGATCTGTAAACCGACTTGAAATAAGGTTCGTCTAAGTGACCAAACTTCTTAACACAAATTAATGTATTTTATTACACACTGTAAGATATAAACAAAAGGTGCACGTCATGAATTTGCCAAGCACAAATAATAATTGCTGAGATGTTTACATTGTTATTACTAAAAAAATGTTTTTCATTTCTCACCAAACCCCACATATTATTTTGCATGCTTTCACCTTAGTTTAATAGTGGAATGGGCAGAGATTTTAGTTTCTGTTTTTTATATGTGTAATAATACCTAAATATCTATATCATGAATTTTATTTCACAAAACATTATCTTTACAAAATAATGAAACTTATTTCATTACAATATAAAAATATTTACAATACTTAAGGAAGACATAATTGCTAAATATGATTATCCTGATATTTGAGAAAGCTAATTTCTATTTTCTAGCTTTGCAGAATTTGCAAACTCTGTGACTTTAAATGTCTGACTGGAAAGTGATTTACTGAGTTTGATGTGCTTTGTGCAGAAAGTTTAATTCCTATATATTTTAATGCAGATTCAGATATTGAATTGATAATAGCTCCTGAATCATTTTCCACGTCACAACCTTCGTCCTGAATAATCTGGAACTGTGATGTGATCTGATCTCTGACTGTATTAATCATGAGTTTTCTCTTCTACACATGCTACCATATAGAGGCCCCGCCAGAGGGTATGTTATACTGTTTTATAATCTGATTTTTTTATCAATAACTTTGTTATTGTGTGACGATAGATTACTTAGGGACACACATTCTGTGAGACACAATCATTTTTTGTGCAGAGTTGAATGTCAACTTAAACTCTTGCCCTGATTTGGCCATCCACATTAATACTGACTCTTGTGGTAATGGCCGAAATGCTAATCAATTTATGATGACAATTATTGATGTAAATATTGATGGTTTATATTTGAGTAAAATGTTGTTTTACTCTTCTGTTATGAGGGGGTGAAAGTGTAAGTGAAAGTGAATTTTGAAACTGCCCCAAACCACCGCGATGTAGCTGGAAGAAAACAACAGTCACTCATGAACGTCAGAGATCTTTTCCTGTGCGTAATACATATATACATATATATAACATGGGGTAGATCATATTTGGGATATCTTAAAGCAGATATAAAAAGCTTCTAATCTAAATATTGCCTTAGACTGGAGGATATTTGTTTTTGTAGCCTGAAGATTATCTTATGGGCAATACACGATTTAATCAGATTGGTGTCTTGTTTTACACACTGGCTTGACCAGGGGTCCGGAAACGGTCATATGCGCTGGACATGTCCGATTGGGAATCTCAAATGTCCGGTTTAAAGTATTGCTTACCGGACATTTAAATTTTTCTGTCCGGACATTTAAAAAAATATTGTCCAGACATTCTTAAATTTTGACCGGACATTATTATCAACAGTTAGGACTGAGCAGTTTCTGTCTGCAGTTGTAACACAATGAAGATTATCTACACTGACAAGCTTTGATTGTTTTGATTGCTGTAAATACATCGTACCTACATGATAGTCCAAGCGGTCAATCACTGTAATAGGCAATAAACTGAGTTGACACTGATTGGAGACACTGAGTCGAGGATTAAGCCGCTTGACACACCTCTCATAAGTAATCAAACACAAACATAAAACATATGTCACCCAAGACACTGTCACATGGCTGTCTGTGTCCTTGACTTAGAAAGTTCAAGAAAACCATCTGATGTTGAATATATTTTACAATTATGTAGACAAGGCTATAAAATCAGTGTTTGATCATAGCAAACTATCTCTTAGTTTTTAGTTGAAAACGATCTTTTGAAAACCATTGTCACCCATATCATCCATGATCTTCTTCAAACACTGGCTATATGTGATGTAACATGAATTATTAATTCAGAATCTAGATACCAAGAAGTTAGTGTGGTGTGTTCAGCTGCTGACCCCGTTGAAATCCTTGTTTTGGTTCCCCACATGTTGAAACACTATATACCCTGCAGGGGGTGCACTGACAGAGACGGGGTAGAATAGGTCTTCAGCAACCCATGCTTGCCGTAAAAGGCGACTCTGCTTGTAAGAGGCGACTAACGGGATCGGGTGGTCAGGCTCCTGGCTTGGTTGATGCATGTCATCGATCCCAATTGCGTGGATTGATGCTCATGATATCAATCACTAGATTGTCTGGTCCAGACTTGATTATTTACAGACGGCCGTCATATAGCTCAAATATTGCTGAGTGCAGAGTTAAACAACAAACAAACAAACAAACAAAACTAACAGAGAAATCTTAATAATGGAACACGTAAACACTGAAACACCATTTATCTAGAAGGGACCTTTCTTGTTGTGTGCAGAATTGGTTTTACAACAAAGTAATGCCTCTTCTTTTTTATTGTAATATTAGTTATATTTACAAACAGTGACAATCTTAATTCCAAGTTGGGAATTTCTGATGACATACTTGGGGCTGAATATCATCCTCTGAGCAGGTTCCTTCAAAACAATAATCATCTTGTAGGTGGTGTTTGTGGATTAACAGGTTCCAGACTAACAATTCGAGGTTTCAGTGTACACTACATTATGGGGTCGTCTGAAATGATTGTGCATGTCAGCTGATAGATACATGAGGTACCGTATTCGATGTAATAAGCGCCCAGGGCCCTCTCAAAATTAGAAATAGGGGGCTCTTATTAGAATATTATTTTGGTGAAAAAACAGTTGAAAAATCTTAAATTTTGTGGTCTATGCTGACAGCCTGAAATGTTTACATACGACAGATATAATTTTCCAGAATTTAATTGCCCATAATTGAGGGTACATATAACACACGAGTGCGCATTATACACGAATAAATAAGTCTTGTGTACATTGATCAATCGGAAGGGGTGCTAATTGGGATTGTGCACTAGCCAATACATAAGCAAATATTGCCATGAGCGCTTATTAGAGCGTGGCGCTTATTAAGTTAAATACGGTATTATATTTATCATGGTTTTTCAGTTTCCTCCTCCTATGGTTTATTGGGGGCAGGGGTGGCCCAGTTGTCTAAGGCGCTGTGCAGAGTTGCGTCCCTTGGGCACGCCAGAAACCTATGATTGTTGGTTCGAATCCCGGTTCGCCCCGATTATGTTTCTAGGTATGTCAGCACCATACCTATGCTCGTGGGTTTCACCGAAGTGGTAAACGTCAGAGACCTACATCACGTCGGGCTTTCCTCCCACATTAAGCTGACACGCAGTGATATAACTGGAATACTGTTAGAAGCGACGTTAAACCAAACTCACTCACTCTCTCACTCTATGGTGTATCATGTATTCATGTGCTTCTGTCTGTTGTGTAGGTGAACCAGAGAAAGTGGAGAACACATGGGCCAACAGGTGAGTGTGTTCACATGTCACCTAGTGTCATCTTCATGGGAACTGATGCTATGAGTTATGGTGTCTGATGTTGCCGTATTCCGTGTCATTTTAGGTTAGCAGAAAAATATTTTCCTGCTAATCTAATATGACACCGAATACTTACAACTAAAGACACCATAATGAATTTATTATGCTGAAAAGTTTACACTATTTGGTATCTTTGTCGCACATATCATATCAAAATGAAAACTTGATACTAACAACAGTATAAACGCGCGGACCAGTACATGTTTCCGATACAATGCTTTAATGTAAACATAAACCTTGACAATGGAATTTATAATTCACCAAATGTGAACGTTTAAAGTATTATAGCTAAAATGGATAGAATTATCATAAAAATCAGAATTCTACGGGCCACTGTTACTTCAAAGTCATCTGCATTATTCCTAACGGCGGGCTACAATCTATTCTATTGCTATGTGACATCATTGGCGTCACGTTTCTTGTTTGTGACGTCATCCTATATTATTATGTTATATGACGTTACTATTTGTAACTCTGTAACCTCCGTTGTAAGCTCTTTTTCTCTATAATTATTTTTAATAAAGTCACGAAGGTGGTTTCTTCGAAAATTAATGTCTTTGAAAATCACAATTAATGGTATTAAAACACAAACAAATGTGTGAGGTGGCTGTTGGAAAATCCAAAATGGCTGTTACTGACGGTATAAGGTCTCATATGCTCTCTGATTGGTCAATCTCACTTTGAGGCATAATAAAACACAATATGCTTCTCATTTGTGTCTGCAGTGTTTAATTTGGCAAGAAGTTAGAATTTTCTGATAGTTGTCAGATGTGTTCATATGAAAGACAATTTGCTTGTTTTAAACATTAGATTGTATAGCTGATGTCAAAAATGCTGATTTTTAGAGATTTTTAAGAAGTGTTATCAAATAATTGAACATGAGCAAGTCACTGACAAGAGTTGATTCTTTTTTTGAGAGTACTGCAATATCACAATATCATAAACAATTCATCTTTGGTCACAGACTTGCTCATGGTTAAATTTGCACTTGAAATTTTAATATCATCCTTTTTCACTAATTTTAGCCATGAAATTGATCGTGTCAGAAGTGCAAAACAAGCAAGTATAAGAAAGAAACAGGCTAGTTGTCATCCATTTGAACATGTCTGATAACTTGCAGAATACTTTGAAATATTGTTATGAAACTTAACATTTCCAATGGGCCCAAACTACTAACAAGTGTTCTGGTTTGAATTGAGGTTAGTGTTTGTGAGTATTCATGTCCATGTTGCATGTTTGTCAGAGAGCCGACACCTGATGAACATGTGGCTGCAGTGAAGATACAGAAGGCTCACCGGGGTGCCTGGGTCCGCAAGATGAAGGCAGCTCGCACGCCAGGTATGTTCAGAGGCTTGTGAATGCTCCTGTCATATTCTTTAAGCATTGATGCTACCTCACTGCTTGGTCCTCACTGTTTGAAGGTTCATACTCCAATGAACATACACAAAGTCAATTCTTATCATTTTTTGTATTACTGTTTTATTCCTCAAAGGATGTAGTGCTAGATCTTATACGTATCACTGACAGCCATACAAGAACTAGCTGTATCGCGAAATAAAATCGTTCCCCTTGAGAGGTGACATGGGCTCAACTTGCGTTAAATATCCGTGGTAGTACAAGAATGTATTCAATCATTGGGTGAGAAAAGGCTCAGTAAGTCATTCACAATGACAGCGCGTCATAACACATTTACAAGACGTCAAAATGGCCAATACGATAAATGTGGCAGGAGATATTTCCAAAGTTGTTAATGAACGATGTTGTTGAAAGATGCGTCAAATGAATACAAACCTAAATTTGTAGTTTGCTGTAGACTGCAACTGTCAGTGATCGAGTCAATACTACGATAGCCTTGTTGATGAGCATTTCTAGGATGGGTTGTAGCAAGGACATATTGAACAATCATGCAGTCCTACTTTCAGACGTCTCTCAATGTATACAATGCTGAGTTCAAGATGAAAGTGTCCAAACGATCAGAAAGAAACACTTTTGTTTGTATTTGTGTAAGGGATCCCCAGGAAAGTGGAAGTAGTCCATCTGTATTCCTTGAAATGACATGAAAAACGTATGAACGTCAATATCACTGTCATTTGACCGGCCTCGTCCAGTGAAAAAGCAGTATATCGTGTAAACTTCAAATTAAAATTCTATTCTTGTTCTAGTCAATCTGATTACTGCTTTGTAGGAACTGACGAGAACCTAAAAGCAATCGAAGACCTTCAGAAGTCCTGGTCAATCTTGGAGTCCAATGCTGAAGACAATGGCCTATATTTATTCAGGTACATGTTAGACATATTTTGAAAGTTATTAACTTTGAAAAGAAAATTAGATTTTTTTCCTGGAAATAAATCAATGTTTCTATGAACGTATCCTGTATTGATGTGTTCCTACAGGGAGATGTTCAAGAAAGACCCAGACATTATGCCCAAATATCCGTTCTACAAGGATGAGTGGAACAAGATCTCCTATGCTGATTACCGGGGGGTGTACCCTGACCAGCCTCCCAACACCTGGTTCATTGTCTTCCGGTTAGTCTCTTACTTACAGCTATCTGTGTGATCAGAGAGCCTGCTATGCCCAAGACTGATTCCCAACATGAGTACTATGTGTAAACCAATTCTTGGTGCCCCCTCACCATATTACTAGAATATTGCTGACAGTAGCATAAAAACGTTACTTAAACACTCACTAATATTTCAAAATTTTGAACAGTGTGATCTCACTGATCTGTCAAGGACAGACCAGACCGCCGCCTCCATGACAAGACATCAAAAGATGGTACTAGTTGTTGTCCTGCCTGGCGCTCAGCTGTAAGGGGCTGGTCTGCTCAGAGTCATTATATTGTGGTATTCATGTTAAACAGCAACATGGTATCCCAGTGGGCTTGTACTATAAACTAGGCATTAGTTGCTCTAAGGTGCTATAATCTTGGACGCGACATTAAACCTCATTTCTCCTCACAGGCAAATATTGATTCTCAGAGGTGAGGCTTGGGCAGACTGTCACCATTTTCCTACCTGTTGCTTGTCTCCAAATATTACCATCACCATTTGTCAAAAGAAATTGTAAAAAGTGCTGTGTTGTGAACAGGGAAGTGTTCTACGTGAGGGAGGAGATGCTGGCTGTCCCCAAGCTGTATGTTCCGATCAACACGTGTATGCTGAGGGTGGTCAACAACGACACCGGGGAGGAGATACCACGGGTCTTCCAGAAGGTGGCGCCATACGTCTACAAGAAAAACAGGGTGAGGGGGAGGAACTTTGAACAGCTAGCTGCAGAGTCGGCTCGATTGTGTGTAGACCTCTGCTGATGTTGACAGCTTGGTGCATGTTTAAAGTGGCAACCACAAAAGTGAAAGCATGAGCTCATTTAAAGTCATTCGTCTTATTGTCTCTCTACCCTTATAGATTGCTTTACTATGGAACTCAGTGTTTTCAAAATCACGGAGGGGAGCATCTGGGGACCTCAGTCTTTTATCCTCAACATGTTAGGACAAGGATGCAGCTGACTAGCCATGATGTGAAATAACATTATTGATTATATACAATGTCAAACAGGAGTTAAATTTCATGTCACGTTTACACTATTTCAATCATTTCACATGCATCCAAGAGGGGCAACTACCCAAGTTCAATTAGTTGTCAACCTTTATGAAATACCAAGCTAATGTAGGTTCTGTTTGTTTATGCATTACAGTACTTAACATTACAAAACAATGTATTTCCAAGAAAATGACTATCTGTCAATAGACGCTTTGACAAACATGTCAAGTAAATCTGTTGCACCGTAGGATGATCTCAGTAAACATTTACTGCCAACAGAAAGGCTACACGTTCGTAGCTGAGGCACGGACTCTGGACCAGGGGATGATGAGTGGCAGCTGGAGGATGCGTCTGATTGGCTCCCTCAGCCCCCTCCCTTCTCCCCGCAACCAGGACGTCAACAGCTCCTTTACTGCCAAAGAGATCCGAGACTACTACCTGCCAAATGCCAAACATTCCATATTCAGGTACATGGTTCATTCATAATACAATCTTTAAACAAAATAATATTTTTCCTGATGTTTAACGCTGCACTCAGCATATATGACGGCGATCTGCAATTAATCAAATCTGGACCAGACAATCTAGACATGGGCATTGATCCATGCAATTGGGATACCATGCCATGCATCAACCAAGTCGGCGAGCCTGACCACCCGATCCCGTTAGTCGCCTCTTACGACCAGCATAGTCGCCTTTTACGGCAAGCATGGGTTCCTGAAGACCTATTCTACCCTGGAATCATCATGGGACAGATATTTATGAAATGTGTCATTTGACAGCATGGCCATAGTTTACTTTGCTTGCTGTAAAAGACTGTCCAAATATTGGTCCAACACAGATGAACGTTCTCCTTGCATCGAAACCTCCTCTACTGATTTCTTTTCTTCTGCTCCACGATGGAGATGAAATATTGCTGTTAATCTTCATCAATTCACTTGCTGTATCTTGTTTCAGGTACACAGTGAAGGTGACAGAGGACCACCTTGTCAGTCTACAGGTCAACACCTCCAAACTGGACGTCTATATCAAGCTGTCAGTCCTTGACCACACAGAAGAGGTCATCAGCGCCGTGGGCAAAGGTCACATCGTCATCCCAGCGTACATCTTCCAGAAGGACTACAATCCTGAGGAGCAAGAGGCTAAGAGGTCCAGCTCCCGAAGCTGTGAGTACATCTCTCTCTCTTGTGTGTTCAGCAGGCACGGGTGCTCTGTCATCTGTCTCTTGTGCAGGGTTAGAGTTTAACACCAGCCCGAGCCAAGTACAATTTCCTGCGGTCTAGTACAAATTTCCCAATTTCCCCATTACATTACAAGGGCATTCTGTCTTTACCTGGGCTAGTAAAGCGTTTGAGTTCAGTTCTAACCCTGTTGTGTATGCAGCATGCATGGGTGCATCTGTCGTCTAAGGCCCCACATCTCCCTGAGAGGGTATCATAAGTCCATATCATTCAAAGAATGTTATTGTTTCTATAGTTTTATTCATAGAATATGTGTTCATTAAATTTGGCTATGTGCGACTGGGGTCCATGCAGGAAGCTTAAGTACTGTAAGTCCCCATGGTCCCTAGTATGGTGATCTACCTTCAGTTGCTGGTGATCTATAGCCCGTTTTTATAATGTGATGTTATGTATAGTGCTTTCCATTTTATGATTCCATACTAGTTTTAAATATATTTCTGTGATAATTATTTTACTGTCCTTCGTTGGCAGGTTTTTATATAAGTTTCAATGTATTTATTATGCCCTTGATAGTCACGATATGGCTGAAATATTGCCAATGTATATAATTTTCACTCACTCACTCACTCACTCACTCCACTCCACTCCACTCACTCCACTCACTCACTCACTTGTTGCAAGGGATTCCCTAGAATGTTTTGTGGTGTTCCCTGTCCTGTTCAGTTATGTGATCAGCTGTGTGATGGTTGTTGCAGCCAACCGTGGAGGTAAGGGAGGGACCAGCATACTGAATATGGCCGGGAAGGGGAAGCGAGGAGAGTCAGCCAGGAGTGCTGATGGAAGGAACTCGGTAAGATCTTAGCTGAATGTTGCAGGCCTTAACAATGTTCATTTTTTAATAAAGTATTTCATAATATTTCTCTCATTATTCCATCACACTGTTAAAATCATATGATGGTTCACTATACATTTCTGTTCTTTTGTTTTCATGAACAAACCACTTCTAATGTGAATTAATTGCATTCATTCTTGTTTCCATAAATTACCTATCTGATTTCAGAGAAGCAGTCAGCATTCTGAAGCTGGAGTCAGTGATTTGGAGCCAGAAGAAAGGGACACCAAGGTGAGAAAGATACAGGAGTGTCATCATCATAATACGGGGCGGTCAGGTAGCCTAGTGGTTAAAGCGTTCGCTCGATACGCCGAAGACCCGGCTTCGATTCCTGGCATGGGTACAATGTGTGAAGCCCATTTCTGGTGTCCCCCGCCGCGATATTGCTGGAATATTGCTAGAAGCAGCATAAAACCATACTCAGTCACTCACCTCATCATAATACCTGAATGTGTTGGCGTCAAGTACCTGTCAACATTCAACAAGGGTTCTGGTACTTCATGCAACCTTAGGGCGGTCGGGTAGCCTAGTGGTTAAAGCATTCGCTCATCACGTCGAAGACCCAGGTTTGATTCCCGACATGGGTACAATGTGTGAAGCCCATTTCTGGTGTCCCCCGCCATGATATTGCTGGAATATTGCTAAAAGCAGCGTAAAACCAAACTCACTCACTCACTCACTCATGCAACCTCATGAGTAGTGTATCATTAGGCCATGTGTACATAGAAAATGATAATTTGAAATAAAATTAACAGCAGCCTTCATTTCTTTGTGAAATCAGAAGACACTTCAATGATCCAATATGAGTCAGGAATATGAAAATATTTGTTATATTTGAAGGAAACTGATATTATATTCCCTGTGTGCCAGCCTCACAAGTACATAGTCCAGGCTACGGTGCTGAAGAACAGCTGGCCCTTAACTGAGAGGGAGTGGGGCTTTGTACAGACCCTCAAGGAACAGGAGAAGAATGAGCTGAAAGGTACATGCACATGGTTAATAGAAGTCAAGGAGAAAACTGTCGACAATTTTTGTCAACGGTCTGATCATTGGATTACTATAATTGGTTGTAATAATGATATATATAATTTCACAACAGCAGTTTGTGGTCTTTGACCTCAAGCTTTGTCTCTTAGTCGCAAACATGGACAGATTTCACTCAAACGACAAGCCAGAGATTTCTGCAATATTGCCAGATCATACATGTAGATTTGAAAATGTTGGAAAGGAATTTCACAGATGTATCAGGTCACATGTTGTGTTTACAATCTATGAGGGGTAAAAATGTTTGGATGCATTGGTTTTTATGTCTTCCATCTTCCTGAGGCGAGGGAGTTAACTGACTATAAAAGTCCAGTTTCCAACCTTGCCGAAATAGGCTGGTATTATGGAGTTACATTTTGACTTGACTAACGAGTCTATGCATAGTCCAATCAAAATCATGCATCGAAATCGAAATCCGGTTCGTAAAATGTCGTGCAGATTTTGGTCGATTGCAGGATTTGCAAAGCATGTGCACCGCTAACTCGTTGTCAACAGATATTTTCCAAAACTTTTCATGTTTTTAATCAAGATGCTCACGTGATTTGATGCATTTCGCGATGTCGGACTTTTTTATCACAATAAAGATCTTGATTATCGATCAGATTGTCTTGACTGGGCTCAGCCGTTTTGTTTGAAACAAGCAATCCCAGAGGTGGAATCTGATTGGTTCATAGGAGAGGCATAGAAGGGACATAACTCGTAATAGCCACAGGTTGCGCTCTGATCGAGCCCAGAAATTCCAGCCTAGTTCGGCAAGGGTGGAAACTAGACTTTAAAAGTCGGCTAACTCCCTTGCCTCTGGAAGATGTATGTCTTCATGATGAAGTAAATATTAACGTATATCCATGTTGACAATGACTCCTCAGTGTCCTACAAGGAGCGTCCCCCCTCACCCCCCAAGGAGAAAGCCCCAGCGGCAGCCACCCAGAAGAGCAAGCAGGGCAAGGGCAGCAAGGCTGACAAGGGTAGCAAGGAGAAGGACAAAGACAACAAGGGGTCACGACCTCCATCACAGCAGTTCGACATGACCAAACCGTTCTGGACCTTCAGGATTGTCAGTGATGCCAGCGCTGCAGTAAGCATGATGACTTGTACATTTAAATATGTAGCTGCGTTGCTGGAGCAGAGAGTCTGATCTTGCAGGAACTGGCTGAACATGGTGATCTTGAGGGAGCAGAGCATCATAAATGGCATAGCTTTATGTGTAACATTTCTTGGTTTTAGCAGAGCCAGGAAAATCATTCTCTTCAGTGTGTGTGATCTTGTTTCCAGAAGTATCATTCATGTTCTTGTGAACAGAGTATCTGCCTGGATAGAGGTAGGTCGGGGTTTTGATACCGGCCGTGTCATACTAGAAGATGTTAAAAGATGGTACTTGTTACCCTGCTTTGCATTAAGGGGAACAAACAAGGACTGGTCGGTTCAGTCAGTATTCTGTGTCGGAGGGGGATCCATGTCCAACTGCCCATGGTATCTCAGTGAGCAAGCACTATAACACCGGCATCAGTCCAACTAGTACAAGCAGTCACACACATGTGCATGCACATTGTTATACACATGCAATAATCTGAAACATGACTTACATTAAACTCCAGTTTATCTCACCTCCTGATGACTGTTGTATGAGTAACAGTATGTATGATCTTGTTTCCAGGAGGACATAGAGACAAGAAAGGACACTGAGAGGGCAGACGAGATCCGAGCCTTGAAGAAGGCATGGGAGGATGCAGAGCCTGGTAGAGCTGTCAAGGTATGTCTGTCTTCATCTTCCTGCTGCTGCTGCTGACTGCCTAATGGTTCCTTGTGTCAATATTAAAGTTGGATTGTAAGATACTGTCAGATGAAGCCTATTTTGAGTATCGAGAATTGATGGACATTCTGCATTGTGAACTTTTCTTGAATCATAACTGCAAATGGCATTGAATCCTTGGCCGTATGGATCGATTCTGAGGATTGGATGATTTTTGTGCACAATTGTGCTCATGGGTATCACCAAAGTGATAATTATGAATATGAACTCGGTTTTCTGAGGTGGTGACAATGTGTTAGCTGTAGGGGAGATTTTAGTATTGCTATATCGATACTCATGTACACCTGGAATTTATGAACTCAGCTGATCCATTATATTTCAAAAATTGAATTTTCTGCCTTCTCCATCTTAACCATGGTAACCTTAATGAATGTATTTGATTCTGTGGCAGTGAATTATTAGTTCAGTATCGATATTCATACATTTGTATCGATAGAGTATCAACATAAAAACATTACAGATACATCAATATGTATTGGAGAAAACACGCTTATGCGAAGCCCCCCCCTGGTTTTTCCCGACCCCCAGGGCATGCTCTGTCTACCAAAAGCGAGGGAAAGTGTTTTTCCATACTTATAAACCGAAAAAAGAAACTTAAAACAACATTTATCAACATTTTTATGTTTAGAACATACTTTCCTTGAACCATAGGAAACACGAGTAAAATATCTGTTGCTGGCGTACGGATCTTGAAAAGGACATTCTAAAAACCAGTATGGCTTATCAACACCTCTGTAGCCTCGTGGTACACTCACTGGGCTACAGATATGAAGGTTGCGAGTCCGATCCTCGGGTATATAAAGAAAACATTTGTCATTTGATTTTACATTTCATTACATGTTACAATCTGAACGGAAGTTACATGAATAAAATACCTAGGACATTATATAAAATCCCTGGGGTATTATAGCAAATATGACTTGAATATCCTATAAAATCCCTGGGATATTATATAAAATCCCAGGGATATTATATAAAATCCCAGGGACATTACAACATCCCTGTTTATGAGATTTAACCCGACTGGAAAGTAAAACCTCACAATAGGTTTTAATGCCTATAGAAAGAAGTCTCTTACTTAATAGCGATCCCAATGAATAGGTTTATAAATGATGATATCCCTAGTGAGCTGGAAGATTATGTGTTATCATATGTGGCAGTGAGGAAGCATTCATTCAACTTCAGTTATGATGGACTTGATCATACCTTCCTTCCATTGCCAGGCCATGCAGTCCCGCCTCAAGTACCTTAGCACCCACATGATCCGGGTGCAGCCAGACGGTGGGGAGGAGGCCAAGGAGGAGAGGCCATCCACCGGGGAGGGTCAGCCAGCGGAGGAGGCCCCACCCACATCCCGTGAGACCCCCATCTCCTTCCTGGACCAGCCCGAGGGGGAGTTGTCACTGGAGCCACCACCCCCACCCACACCCAAAGAAATCCTGCAACCTCTAGATCTAACACCGTTCATAAAGTAGGCTTTTAATAATGTGTTTAAACCTTGTAAATCTGTAAGGTGTTTCTGTTAAGGTGTGAAACCTAAGTAAATGCGCCTTGTATTTCTGTACCACATGTGTTTTACAATAATTAATAAGAAAATGTATTTGCTTTGTATTTTTTAGCTGGTAACCATGATTTGAACGTACGAAGAGTGTATTTATTGAACTGTGATAGAAGTAGAATGTTGTATCATCAACCACAGTATGTGCATAAATAATGACTAACAGAAGAATTTCAGCAAGTTTCACAAGTAATGCAACATTCTTTAAACACATAACAGTGGTCAGTTCATAACATTGGTCAATAAGTACACTATTGGTCATCGCTTGACATGTGGATTGGACTGCCTCCAAGGCGAGAATCTGTACTTTATTGAGAAAGTGTTATCCCAAATATAACATGCCTTATCAGATTAACTGTATTAATATGAAACAAAGGGGTGTTCTTTAACTTCTTTCGAGTGGTGCATACAAATATGCAATATACAGAAAGTACACAAATATACTACACTGCCACACAATTCATTTTCAGAATAAATTTGTTTTGTGTTGATAATTCAAAAATCATCTCATGATGCAATGTTTATATCGTAGTACAACGTGTTGCCATTCACCAAACATACAGAGAATCCTTTAGGTCTTGTAATTTAGACCTTGTATCACTTTACTGAGGTCGGTTTTAGATTTAATGAATTTTATTGACTAGGAAAACAACAGACACTCCTCAGTATTTGGATGAGAATGAAATGCAGCAACGTCTGGAGGAGAGACAGAAGGAAATCTTGGAGTACAAGCAGTTCCGTGAACGTGTCGAGAAATGGAGAGAAGAAGATAGACAAAGTCGTAACTTGACAAAAATACGACAACTTGATCAGGCCGAGGAGCTACAGGTGAGATGAACAAGATACTAATGTAATTGTTTACAGAGCCCTAAGTAATGTGAACACTTGACCTCCATTCATTTTTGAAGACAATGCAACTTTATGGTACCATGAAAATTGTCATCAGCACTTTGATTTAACATCGGCACCCCGCATATCTCTTGTATGGATATGTCAATTTGTGTTTGGTCAAGAGGGTGTTTTTTTACCAACGTTTCCATGAATACGTTAGGTTAAGCAGTATAATGCATTAACATGGTTCTGTGGAGATTCAGGGTTGGAACTGGTCACAAACAACCTATGTTGGTCGAAAGAAGCGATCCAAATGCATCGGGTGGTCAGGCTCCGTGACTTGGATGATGATGTGTCATCGTACCCCGACAGCATGGATCGATGTTCACAGTATCAATCACTGTATTGGCTGGTCCAGATTCAATCATTTACAGTTATGAAGCTGGAATATTGCCGAGTGCAGCTCTTAACAACAAAGAAACATTAATATGTTACTTTGTCTCCATGTCCAATAATAATTTCTTCTTACACTTTTTAAAATTGTGTTGATATTAAATTGTTTAAAGTTAAGTATTTACCAACACAACATTCGACAATGTTCAATTTTAACAATTTCTTTGTTATGTTATGAGCTAAGCATTATTTTTCTTGTATTAGGGTAGTCATTTATCAACAAGAAACTATTTATACTTTGTTCTGAATGACCAGTGTCCCCATAACATTATCTCTTATTTGGAGAAAGGATTTGACTTCTTATTGATATAAATGAATTGTTTTTATAAAGGCTGCTTTGGATAATGCGAGGGATGCGTACCGTATGGCTATAGAAAACCACCGTAGAAAGTGTCTTGCCATGCCGGCTTTGTTTAGTGATTTTGGCAGTGGTTCAGTTCAGTCAATTCATGATTCTGAGCTCGAGTTCATAGAATAGTTCCACCTTGAACATTTGATCCATGTCCACATTAGTCATTCCTAGTTTTGTGTCACCCCACTTGGCTGTTGGATGCAAAAGTGAACCTGTGCATGGAAATTTGTTGTGCTATTTCCTCACCTTGTGTGGTCTGCCCGATCGGGTTTGAACAGTGTGTTGTAAATACAAATTGTCAATATAATCATGTTTCCCTGACCAAAGTGTGGACAAAGCACACTTCATTGTTATTGGAATGTCAACTACCTCGGATATTTATGCTTTATTGATCAATTTCATGGTTTACGATTTGTATAATATATAATGAATTCAACAATAACGATTAATTTTTATCAGTTCTGTGTAGAAGTGGAAAATAAATATGCACGAACATTGGTTGCACTGGGTATGGGACTAATCTTCACCCTCTCCCTAGGTGTACATGTTTAAAAAAGACTTACATTGATGACTATGCCTGCCCACCCCCCAACACCCCACCCCCTTTCCGTCCATATTGCATGACTATACCCCTCCCAGCTCTCCCTGACCCCAATCTGCCTCGTCTCACCCTCCCCGTCCTCTTTATTTCCTCCCAAAGGCGGCACTTGATGCAGCGAGGGATGAAGTGAATGCTCCAAGAGAAGCGTTCCGACAGAAGTACTTGGAGGCAGAACGCAAGCGTCTGGAAGAGGAGGCGGCCAAAGAAGCAGCCTCGAAGGCCGAACAAGAAGCTAAATCTCCCAAAGGAAGGCAAAAGAGTGCTAAAGGAAAGAAAAGTCCGGGAGGGAAAAAGAAGAAATAAATAATAAAGCGATGTTCAAAATCTATTATATAAATCAAAGTTATAATTTATTTGGAAATCATTGTTTTATTTGAAAATTTATTTTTCAGTTTTTGATAGGCCCTTTTTTTGGCTGAAACATATCTTGGTTTGAAGGTCCTTCAGTATTCGTAAAACACTGTAAAAAGAAAAAGAACAGACAGACCAATTGCACTAGTAGTTTTAAATTGTTCAATTCCAGGTATCCATGTGATTATTTTTCTTTTTTTTCGATACATGATGCTAACAATCTTTCTTTTTTTCATTAAGGTATTGAGAATATGGGGTCTGAATCATAAGAAATATGATCTGATGTTTAGAACTACCAGTATGGCCTTGTTTATCTGAAAACTGATTTTTAATGTTGTGCATGACGTTAGTAAATAGGAAAATTATATTTGCTATATCTCTGAATTTTTGCACAAGGGTCATTATGGTACCTAAGTTTATTATGAAATGTGTTATTTTATTCAGTGCCATCACGCATAAGTGTTTTGAAAGGGTATTCAAGCTTTATATAGTTTTTCCTCGAATAACTTCTATTTTATACTAAAATTTGAAAATATTATTTGTTATATTTCAGGAATTATATATTTTAGGTTTATTTTCTCAAATCACGATAAATTAATTGTACATGCAAATATGAACTTGAGTTTAATATTTTTTAATCTGAAACTCCTTAATATTGCCGAAGTGCTGTTACTAATGCCACCTTTGATTGACTGAAGAGAGCTGTATCTCTTGCATTATCTGTGATATTGACATGAAAGTGATTGATGTGTGTATATATCAATATATATTTACTCCAATACATGCCTCGCGTACATTCCACCTTGTATCATACAATCAAGATGTTGTACTTTGTGTTGTAAATTAGTGATCTGTATCTATAACAATCTTTCATTATGAATACGACACGTTTTGTATGGACAACGTGTTACTTGCACTTTAATATCTGTCGTACAAATACAAATCCCACATTGTGTGTTTCATAATCTCATATTCATCTGATACCATTTTACAAAAAATTAAGAAAAAATCTTCCAGTTATTTTGTTAAAAATCTTCAAAACATTGAACAAATATAATTGTCAATCTAGGTGACTTACTTAACTGTGTCCTGAAAATTCATCTATAATTGTTGTAGTTTTTAATTTAAATCATACATGGATAGAGAAACGCAAATGTATCAAAGATGTTGTTTTGTTAATTATATTTTTTGTCTGCCTTGTCAGATGTGAAGACCTGTTGGCCCAACATTACTTACAATTGTAATTATTTGTACATAAGTGAATATTACAGCACATATACAAAGCTTACACATATATCCTGTGTTATTGGTCCACATGCATTTCGTCACATATCACTCAAGCTTGTGAAATCAGCACCACAGTCTTACGTCAAATTTAGTTTTCTAACTCTGAATGTTAAAGAATATGTCCTCTTTAAATCAGTTTATTACACACACTGAACGTAGAGAGTTTTGGATCTCTCAATACGTTTTGCACTTGTAGTAAATGGTTTCTGTGTAACCATTATTTTCACCAAGTTGTACATATAGTTTTACACATCAATAACAGAACAGCAAATATAACTCAATAAATCAGTAACCTTGTGTAAGGAAGCAATAGATTGTTGTCGGGGCAATATGGTGAACTTTGGGTCTGATCAGACTTTGTCAGTTCATGTTTGTTTTCTAAAGATTCAAATAATTAAAAGTTCTTGGTATTTATTACATGTAAACGGAGATGAAATGATTTATTTTTTTTATAAATACAAATTCAGAATGTCTTAGAAATGTGACATTGGGTGATATGCAAATAAGTATATATATATAAACATAGTATGTGTTTAATGGTGTAAACATTTGTTTAGGTAACTTCTGAGAGCATAGTTTCTGTTAAGCAAAAAGAATAATTATTTTTTTGAAAACCTTCACTATAAAATCTTTAATATTTTACAGAATGCTACGAACAGCATTCCTAAATATGGAAACATATTGCTGAATATATGGAAATGGAGTGGACAGATAACAGTGTTGTCAGTTTGTGTTGGTGTCAAAATACTGTTGTAGATTTAGGGACAGTGATGTAGTGCCTTTATAATTCTTTTCGTGACCTTATCGAAACCGATCCAATTTCCCTTGTAACAGCAAGGCGAACGCCCTTAGCCTATGTCTCTCCGTCCCAGATGAACCATAACAAACCAATCCGTCCCAAACCCAATGATTGGACGTTCAGTGAAAAATGACGTCAGTTGATTGGCCCTTCATTTCCGTCCTTTATTAAGATGGCCACTGGAGGCCTATTCTTGCAAGTGTCAGTGGCGTTGTTGTGATAAGTGTTGTTATGCAAATTCCTTGTAACATTCCTGTGTTGATTCCTTAAATGGCAGTTATTTCACATGTGTGGCCTTACTCACTGTATAATAAGTTGTCATTAGTAGCACTGTATATAGAACTCTCACTCCACCCTCGTCACCTGCTTTGGGTATTTCACACAACACTGCACGTGTGAACAATGTACTTGGACATTCAGTAAACTTGTTGAAAGACATGGCCGAGGTGTTTTGTTTCTATCCATGCTTTGAATTACATTTCAGCCTTTCATGTGCAAAGTCTGGGAATGATGGGGTTTCAGGCGGCCAAGTCGTCTTTGATGATGTCGTTGGCTAAGCTTGAATCTTGTGGTTGTGGGTTAAATTCCTGGGTTTACCCTTATTGTGAATATTGGTCTATAAAAGCGTTTTGTTCCGCTATTTCGGATTGTGGGTTGGAAGTGCTCCTCACCCACCCATGCTTGACAGAAGCGGTGACTTATGGATCAGTTGGTCAAGTGACTTGGTTGATTGCCCTGTCATTATACCCAACGGCCTTATTCGTTGATCATAGCATCACTGGATTTTCTGGCTGCGGTCACATTGGAATATGACAAAGTGTGGTGTACACAACAAATGCAACCATTTCCGTTGGTGTGACAAGACCTGAAGGGGCGGTGGGGTAGCCTAGTGGTTAAAGTGTTCGCTTATCACACCAAGCTCTGGTTTGATTTCCAGCATGGGTACAATGTGTGAAGCCCATTTCTGGTCCTCCCCCAAGTGGTTTATTCTCAATGCAGTGTTTTATTGTACGATAAACAACTCCCACTTGTTTATTTCTTAAATAGTAATGCCATAATATATGCTGATGTCACAGACAAGAAACATGATGCCAATGATGTCCTATTACAACAGAACAGATAGCAGCCCGTTGTCAGGGAAATGAGGGGCTTCTGCTTAACTCTTTTTTTACAGTGGCCGGCAGATTTCTGATAACCTACGGGCAGTTTTATGATAATTCTATTCAGTTTAGCTATAACATGTTTAAGATGTAATTGTAATAAATCTGAATAACCACTTGCTGAAGACCCACACATAAAACAAGAGATAAAGACTCTGCAGCGAATAGCTCTGGAACTGTGTTCCCTCAACATGTGCAGCAGCACATTACGGGAGGGTTTGCAGTATATGGTAAATGAGCAGTTATACATACTATACAGAACAGTATACATACCATACAGAACAGTTATACATACCATGCAGAACAGTTATACATACCATACAGAACAGTTATACATACTATACAGAACAGTTATACGTACTATACAGAACAGTTAGACGTACTATACAGAACAGTTATACATACTATACAGAACAATTGTATATACTATACAGAACAGTTATACATACCATACAGAACAGTTATACATACTTTACAGAACAGTTATACATACTATACAGAACAGTTATACGTACTATACAGAACAGTTATACGTACTATACAGAACAGTATACATACCATACAGAACAGTTATACATACCATACAGAACAGTTATACATACCATACATAACAGTTATACATACTATACAGAAGTTATACATACCATACAGAACAGTTATACATACCATACAGAACAGTTATACATACCATACAGAACAGTTATACATACTATACAGAACAGTTATAGATACCATACAGAAAAGTTATACATACAATACAGAACAATTATGCATACCATACAGAACAGTTATACATACCATACAGAACAGTTATACATACCATACAGAACAGTTATACATACTATACAGAACAGTTATACATACCATACAGAACAGTTATACATACTATACAGAAGTTATACATACCATACAGAACAGTTATACATACCATACAGAACAGTTATACACACCAAACAGAACAATTGTATATACTATACAGAACAGTTATACATACCATACAGAACAATTATACGTACCATACAGAACAGTTATACATACCAAACAGAACAATTGTATATACTATACAGAACAGTTATACATACTATACAGAACAGTTATACATACCAAACAGAACAGTTATACATACCATACAGAACAGTTATACATACCATACAGAACAGTTATACATACCATACAGAACAGTTATACATACCATACAGAACCGTTATACATACTATACAGAACAGTTATACATACCATACAGAACATTATACATACCATACAGAACAGTTATACATGCCATACAGAACAGTTATACATACTATACAGAACAGTTATACATACCATACAGAACAGTTATACATACCATACAGAAGTTATACATACCATACAGAACAGTTATACATACCATACAGAACAGTTATACATACCATACAGAACAGTTATAGATACCATACAGAACAGTTATACATACCATACAGAACAGTTATACATACCATACAGAACAGTTATACATACCATACAGAACAGTTATACATACGATACAGAACAGTTATACATACCATACAGAACAGTTATACATACTATACAGAACAGTTATACATACCATACAGAACAGTTATACATACCATACAGAACAGTTATACATACCATACAGAACAGTTATACATACGATACAGAACAGTTATAGATACCATACAGACCAGTTATACATACAATACAGAACAACTATACACACCATACAGAACAGTTATACATACCATACAGAACAGTTATACGTACCATACAGAACAGTTATACATACCATACAGAACAGTTATACATGCCATACAGAACAGTATACAGCTGATAAAGTTTACAAGTATACATTGTTCACTCTGATATTTGGAAACATTTACATGAAGAGAAATACAGTTATGTGGCATATTCACTGAATGGGTGTACGCTGCGTTATCACGTAATTTCACGGCAGGGGACACCAGAAATGGGCTTCACAGACGCTTTTCAAGAAATAATCGGATCTGGGACAGACAATATAGTGATTGACATCATGAGCATCGATCTACGGAACTGAGATATGACGACATGCATCAATCAAGTCAACGAGTCTGAACACCCGATCCCGTTAGTCGCCTCTCACGACACACATGGGTTGCTGAAGACGATTTCTGCCAGGATCACCACGGGGGGCATACATATATATTATACTCCGGACACTATACTATATACGAATACATTAGATATTTAGCTATGCTTCAAGTAAGCATGGGTTGCTGAAGACCAATTCTAATCCGGATCTTAACAGCTGCCGCTGACCATTTTGCCTGTTTCTCAGAGGATCCAGCTGACAAACCGTCATCCGAGAAGGTGACTATTCTGCAGACCCCATTTCCACTTCTTAACTGTCTTGTAACTTGGCTGAGCACACATGGGGCAGGGACGTTATAGCAAAGGGATACACCAGGAACCTATAGTAGCGGACTGTTCCTGTTTTGTCTCTCCGTGAAAAAGAAATAACAATAAACATATATATCAATATAAACTGAGGCAATCATTGGTTCCAATATATTTCAGAGCCGTTTTCCAATACTCATATTTCGCGCTACGTTTAAGATGAAAGCTGTTAATCCTGCGTAGGTGAAGAACTGACTTCATCCCGGAAGACAGGACCGAGACAGACCGCGGGCTCCCCACACCAGAAGGAGCAACACTCACACATCAGCTGTGTGTTGTTAAGCTCGCCGATAGCCTGCGTGACAACGTCTCTACGCTGTGTTTGAATGCTGGCTGTTATTTTTACAAATTGGGCTACAAATAAAAGGTACTACAACAAATTGATGTAAACTAATATATCTTTGAGGGTGCACCCTCATCTTCATTGTTCGCAGTCAAGTCTTCTTTCTAACTGACACAATTTGCATTTCACGTGACCGGACTTCGCTCTCGTTTGTAAACAAACGCACTACTGAAATCAGATAAGTCGCATCGTCCCTTGGCAAGGGGCTAAATTTTTGCAGGTACCCAAAGGGGTTAGACGTCTGCACGTGGAATCGTATAACCATTGTAAAGAAAAGAAATAGGCAAATAGATTTTCACGTTTTATCACATTTCCTCAATGAAAGTTAACCGTTGTATGCCATATGCTTATCAAAATGTGTCGACTATTTTCAGGTGATTCAACTATAATATTAAGTTTCACAAATATAATTTGTTGAATGGACGGCATAGTAAGTAAATTAAGGATCCACACATCATTTTGTCCTGTGGCAGAGGTACCAGGTTCACCACAAGAATCTACCCCGGGGTATGAGAATGACACCTTAGATGACAAAAACTTTATGTCACGTCACAGATAGTTTCTTTGTTTGTTTGTTTGTTGTTTAACGCCACACTCAGCAATATTCCAGCTATAAGACGGCTGTCTGTAAATAATCGACTCCGGACCAAGTCAGCGAGCCTGACCACCCGGATCCCGTTAGTCGCCTCTTACGACAAGCATAGTCGCTTTTTGCGGCAAGCATGGGTTGCTGAAGACCTATTCTACTCCGGATCTTCACGGGTTACTGGTCTGTTATAACCTAAAGTTGTGGTAATAAAATTATGACCAAGTACGTGAAAAGATAGGGAAATTATCTTGGAGCGCAGCAATATCAACTTCTCATGCTTATCTGAATTTCCACATACGACTGCTTGGTACACCACAGTGACCACAAAAACCGCAGCTCTTCGTACATGTGTACCCACTGCAGCGAGCACAGAAACCTCACAAAAATCCGGGCTATCATTGTTTAGTGCCTTAATCTAGAAACCGGATCAAAGTTCCGGGAAGTTACCATCATAATATGCAATGAAACACACTTAAAATACTTCTACGAAAAAAATCCTTACTACGAGGTACAGAAAGACGTTAGTTAATACTTATGTCTTATAAGCGATCCCCTATCGACATTAAGAAGGTGATTGTTACTCACCTAATACTTATGTAAAACGACGCCCTAACGATCAATCAGGTTGTGACTGACGCGCACCAAGAAGTACAATCACCATTTAACACTATGCTAAGGGGAGGTAACTTTTGGAGGACCAACTCGTCAACTCTTTACCTCAATATGTATTATTCCCTTATAGTTCGTTCATCTGGGTTTTTTTAAGACAAAAGCCTAATTTTAAATAATAGGACGATCTATCCAAATGATTTTTGTACATTCAGTAGGACGTCGACGGGTGACGGGTGTCGTAGATTTTTTTTATTGGATGTCTGCCCTGGATATATCTTTTAAGAAAAGGAGTCATAATTTG